CACAACAGTGACACAATACCCGAGGAATCAACGTACCAGCACGGACACTCCAAGTCCCTCTGCGAGCCGGCGGATACCGACGACTGGGAGGGTGCTCCTCTGACAGCCGCCAGCGGAGCCAACAGCGAGCGCCTCATGCACAGTGGTCGGGAGCCTCTTCTGCCGCGTCTTGGGGCAACACCACGCGCCCAGATCCGACGTATGAACGCGGGTGCAGTTGGCGGCTCGGCGGTGGGTGTCCCTGGCAGAAAGAATCAGGTGACCACGGCATTGCTGGACTACGAGGACACCGACACGGACTCCGATGAGGAGGAGGAGGATGACGATGAGGACGAGGATTTTGATTTGTATGACGACGAGAATATTGTGGTCACCACCTTCACAACGCCCGCCACGCCACGGCCACACGAGGTGGGCCGACGACTAGGATCAAGTCCTGGACCAGGTTCAGAGCCCACCACCACGACGAGGACAAGCATTCGGCTGACAAGGAACAACGACGAGAGCATCATATGAGTGTCAAGTGCCGATGGGGATGTGGAGGAGGAACCACAGTGTTCGATTCGTACCCGTTCGAGGAGTGCGTTTCAGTACGAGATGTTCTACTAGGGGTCTGCAATATGCAATCTACGATACGTTGACGATGGGATATACATTTATATGGATTAGTTTTAAGCATAAAGTTGACAAAAGTTGCAAAATAGTTTCCCCGAAAACGGTTTAAAACAAAAAGCTTTATAATTATTAACAAAAAATCAGACACAAAATTAGATAATGAAAAGAAAATTAATGAAATTGGAATGTATATAGAACGAAATTTGAGCCACAAATTGAGTTATTCTTGTTCCTCGTTTAAGTCGCTTCTTAAGGTTTTCATTCTTCATAGAATCCCCGAAGGGTGGTACACTTCCAGTTTGTGTTTAGGGTTTAGTCGCGAGCAATTATTATAATTATTGTACCATGGAATATGCATAGTGAATATATAGAACCGATATTTATATATACTTTAGTGATTACAGCTGATGTGTTCCAAATAGCAAGAAAGCATATTAATTGTGTAATAATTAAACAAAAGCGTAGCCAAAGTTCATTGTGTAAGCCTATGACAAACGTTGATTTCGTTGTGTTTTAGTTTAGCGAAAATGTACTACTTACTACAATTATGTAAATTCAGATTCAGATACAGATCCGTACTTAAGCGTGCACTAAGTTCGATATGAAAATAGTGAACCGCAGAGTTTAGTTCAATTTTAGCCTTAGTTCTATGTGTAACACCTCATTTCTGTATAGCCGCAGAGTCAATACTAAGAATAATCGATGGGATGTAACTACAAATTAATGAATTACTTTATGGGAATAAAAGTTTAGTGCATTTTTAATTTCGTTTCGTTGTGGGACAGTGGCAGAAATATATAAAATATACACAAAAATCGAGTAACTAATAAAGGAATGCAAGAGTTATGTAATTTATAAATTATTTTTGTAAACATTTACGAACGATAATGATAAAGATAGCTAAAAGAGATGTTTGGAGAGTGCGTGAGAGTTTTATGAGCGATTTTTAAGAGTGTGGACACTGAGTGTATGACTATGATTGTGTGGAATGTGAAAGGCGAAGACTTAGATGCTCAAATCAAAGTAAAGTAATCCCTAAGAAATACATAATTGAATATTCGATATGATGCTGAGGTATGTAGATTTCAAAATTCACTAGAATAAACTAAACACCAGAGTTAAACTGAAAAGATCAGAAAGAGCCAACTAGGAACAAACACACGAATCAGTAGCCAACCGGGAACGAAACCTACCTACCAACAACTATTTTCGTGTATGTACACATTTGGAGTGTAAGAGTTAAGAGAGGAACCTACCTACTAATATAAAATCGTTTAAACATATTTTTTAATTCATGTGCAACGCGTCCTGTACCAAACTATAATTTAATTGTCTGCTTACAATATAAGTAGACGGTATTATGTTTTATCCGAGAAATTGCCTTCTGAATATGCACGCTAGACCAGATTGAGACAGATCTGCCTAAGTTACAACTTCAGTCTACTGCATAAATATTGTATGTGCATTTTGATTTCGATATGAAAGACAATAAACAGCTACATGGAGAAACCCACTTGTCTCCAGGAAATTGTCATTTCAATAAATCCGAAAAGGAAATATACAAAGATATATGAAATAAAACAAAAACCAAATAAGAGCTGTGTTACATTACATTATGACCAGGTTTTCTATATAAACTTTAATTGTTCACAATCTGCTAACCAAAACAAAAAATGAAACACATTTGTGGATTGTGTCATTAAGAATTTATATAAAAGACGCTGGCACGTTAATGAATTACTTACTTGCTTGAGGGCAGACACATAGGAATCATTTAAATAAATTGACACAAAACAAGACAAAAACGTTTGCAATTTTCATACTGTAGGCCTTAAGTTGTGCATAATTCAAAATGGATATAGCAAATAATTAAATGTATTTCCAAACTTAGCAACACCTTTTGCGGAAACGGAATAAAACAGCATTGTAAATTGTTAAACTGATTTTAAATAAGAAATAAGAACATTTTACTAAAAATAAAATTAATGAACAAATAACTTAGAAGGAAAGTCTATCAATCAATTGGTGTGTGGGAGAGGAAATTGTTCTTTGGCAATGTCAGCACGGGAGGCCTTACCAGTCGAGGCTCATCATCTGCGTTCACCGATTGTACTTATGGTGCCATCCACATTGTAATTGCAGAAGGAAGCCCTTGAAATGGGGTTTGTAATAAAAGAAAGTTAATTTTTTGTTTGAAGTTCCGTTTATACATTTATTGCACCAAATATGTTGAATTTGTTTTTATTTTCTCATAATTTAATTGTAATGTATCTCTTTTTGTTTGGTTTTTTTTCTAATTATTTTTCGAAACTGATATATTTCAATATGCTTTATGGTAGTATTATGTATGTATATGTACTATATGCTGGAAACACTTACTTCCTTTATATAGATTTTGGTTTTGGTTTGTTTTTGTTTTGTATATAGGTAAATATATCGATGGTCACCATTTCGCATTTAAAGTGAGTCTCTCAGTGGTAGGTGAGTGTGCAAAATGCTTCTAGAATTCGTTCTCAGTGTGTGGGTAGGGAATTGGTTTTCCAACTCCTTGATAATTATTCTTCTTTAATTTTTTCACATTAATTAACTCTCGTAACGATTAAACAAATACGTTTTTATATGAGCATTATATGTATGCCATGGTGTGTGTAGTATGTTTGTGTGACTCATATTTTAGGGGGAATGTATCTCAATTAACATCATTTTGTTAGTTTCGTTCTAAAGAAATTGTATTACTTGATCCATATATATATATATAGTATGTATGTATATGCTTAGTTTCTTGTGGTTTAATTAAATGTATTAGTACTCGTACATATGTTTATGTAGAATCAATAATCAACCCAACATTAGCTACATAAATACGATTATGTTTTTAATGTTTATGTTTGTTTTTTATGCATTAGAATTTCGCCCAAAGTACCGCCGATCAGTAAATCGTTAATGGGTTTGATAACGTTTCTTTTCATTAATTTTTTGTTTTGTTTAATAGAGCTATAGGCGCATAAATAGTTGTTTTTCTTTTGTATGCAATAACAAGTTAAGATTAAGAGTAATCCATGTAAGGTGATTGGTTTTTGGTTATCTTTTGGAAAGGCATTTGACAGTGCTTCATCATCTTCATGAGATAGCGTAGATATATGTTTGGTTTGCTTTGTGTGTGTGTGTGTGTGTGTGTGATATATAGACTAATTGTAACTAGCATTAAACAGATTCGAACAGCGTAACATAGCTCTATATAGTGGCTTGCTTTTAATATGTATGTATCAATTTCTCTATATGTTTAGGCTTTTGTACATACTCAATTTATACATCTCCATTCGGTCCGGTCCCTAAGCCACCATCCGACACTACAGATACTTACTCGTTCATCCAGCATTAGCGGCAAACAATTTCAACATTTATCAATTAGACAATAGACCGTAAATAAATACAATTATGGCAGTTGATAGAAGCGCTTACAAATTATAAACAAAATTCAGTTAGATTACACATCAAACATAAAAATAGGATAGCCCTTTTTAAACATATCATATCTCATTAATATTATCAATACTGTTGCCCGTAAGGCTATCCATTCCTATTACCTTTAATATTTCCATAGTTTTCCTTTCGATACGAGTACGAGTACAAGAGAATGGTCGATCATCAATGCTTAATATTTAGTTAACAATAATTATTTTCCACCTATTTTTGCTGTGTTTGTTTCTCTCGCATTACTTATACAGCAAAATACATATATGTACAATTATGTATATACGGATATATTATTGGAAAACACAGAAAACCATCGTTATATACGTTCTACGAGTTTATGCATAAGTGTTGTAGCTTTTTTTTGGGGGTAGGGATAGGGGATCGGAAAAAAACACTTGAATTATATTTTCTTTTTAACGCACATCTAATACAACGAAAGTGTAATTTGTAATTGTGATTTGATATCAATATGTATTTCGGATTTCCATATGCAGATTATTTTATGTACGTGTAAGTATATCCATTAAAATGACTTTTTCTTACTTGATTTCGGTTGTATTCTTCGTTTAATTGGTTATGAACATGACAGAGAGATAGAGCTGAGTTTGATTTAATTGTGGATCATCTATTTAAAGACCATGCCCAAAAGAGCAATGAATACAAACACATACTTCATATGGGAGATTAGCCTGCCTTTTGGCGGATGAAAATGCTGTTGACTATATGTCAAAATCTGTGGTGATCTTAACATTAACGCCGACCCCCCGCAGGGTATCGTCTGTGTGTTTGTAGATTTGTTTTATTTGTGTTTAAGCGAATGCATTATGCCGCTTAGAGGCCAAAGCCCATGGCTCGTTATACGTTTCCTGTTTTTTCGTTTGCAGCATGAAGAGAGGAGAGGATTATAATTGGAATCAGAATTGCATTTAATTAGTTTGCTTTGTATATATGTACACACATAATGGGTTTAAAAGTATAAATATGTAGACTAAATAAATACAAAATGCACAAAATAAAGGGACTAGGACTACTAGGCATATAGATTGGCTAAACAATAATGATAGGGTGAGCGAGATAGGAGCAGCCATCGCTCAACTTAGGTGTAAATATCAGACACTAGAAACTAAATAATCACAATTAACAAATAATAGATATACATACAATGTCGAATGGAAAATATTGCAACAAATTATAACTAAACATAATAAGTCGGCATGGTATTTTCTCTTGAAAGAAGAGAACGACATAACGAGAACAAATTGGCATTGCTTATTCGATATCAATAAATCATAAGATGTGGAGTTGGAATGTGTAGCATAGAGAGCTTAGCGTGGTGCTGTCGTGGTTTGTCTGGGTTTCGAGAGATTCACTGCTTTCCCTGCTTTGAGGTGCCATTCACTTTCAATGTCTTACCGGACGTCACAAAGGGACCCACATAGTTGCTGGGAAACAGACCGGATAGGCCATTCAGCTCGCCGCGCCACCATTCCGGCTCATCACGGCCCAACACACTGATAATGTCGTCCTTCTCAAATGAGAGCTCATCGTCGTTTTGTGCTTTGTATGGATAGAGAGCAATGACCTTATCTGGAATAGGGATGACAGGAAGAGAGTAAGGCATGCTTGTCGAGTGACATTTCTGCTTTTCAAACAAACCCAAGATCTGTTCGGTCATTTCAATGCGACTGCCCGAGACAGGTGTGTTGCGTCCGCTGTTGCGACCACCCTGCAGCACCTTTACATAGGTCGCGGGGAACCAACCGATCTGTCTGCGTCTGCCCTTGGCCTGCAGCTCACCCTCCCACCAGCCAGAGTCGGTCTTCTTGCGGATCATAATCAGTTGGCCGCGCGTCAGGGACAGCTGTTCGGTGCTGGTTGCCTCGTACGGCGCAATCACTTGTGCAATCTCCGATCGTTTGGCCCGCATGCCCTAGAAGATCGTAGGCAGAGATCAAAATTAAGATTAGTTATGGACGCTGCAAATGGGAGGCAACAAAAAGCTGTGTCAACTATTTACGGGTGTCATGGAAGAGGTGCGTGACATGGGTCGGCTATAGCTCTCGGCCGGTTCGCTGCTTTGTGTCTTGGACTGTGTATTGATCTGGGAAACTTCAGTGTCAAGGTCTTCGTGCGCATCCTCCGCCACTGCGGTCTGCTCTGCCAGCTGGGCTGTGGGCTGCTGCTGCTCCTCCAGCTGCTGTGGTAGTGGCTCTTCATGCAGCTGTTCCTGAGCGTGCGCCTGTGGCAGCGAATATGTTTCAACTTGAGCAGCGTAGGCAGAGTTGCTGTTTAGTGTAGCCTCCTGGGTTTGCGAGTGCACAAATATGACGGTGGCAAAGGGTACAGCACATGAAAAGCATTGGATTAGTAGATGAAAAATGATTGGTTGGTTAACACACGACTCTACTCTGGAGGGGTGTATACACAGCTTCCGTTTTTCTTTTCGTTTTTTTGCAGTAGTGTCTATCAACCTACAGAAGTGCGAGCTACTCCACTCACCTGATCAGCCGAGTCAGTCACAGCTGCAGTTGCAGCTGCAGTCACCGCTGTGCCCACGTCCGCCTTCTGCACATAGTTCGAGGGGAACATGCCGGTGCGATTACCAATGGTGCCGGTCCACCATTCGCCTTCCTTTTTGATAACCATCACCATTTCACCAGCACCAAAGCTTAGGTCACCATCCTCGGCAGATTCATAAGGATATGCGGCTATGTAGTACTCGATTTCGGAGCCCGAGGATGTCAGGTCTGCGTCCAATGAGGGAGCCACATTGATATTGTCATTGTAGGTGTCTGCCGAATACGGATTTATGGATGATGATGCTGCTGCTGGCTCGTCGATCACCGCTGGCTCGATGGTCGAAGTAACAGCGGCGCCTGCGAGTCCTTCTTCCTCCAGCTTTTCCACATAGGACTCGGGGAACCAGCCTGTATGGCCATTGATCTCCCCAGCCAGCCAGCCTGGCTCGGCATTCTGCTCGAGTGGAACCAGAATGAGATCACCTGGCACGAATGTTATCTCCTCGGCATTACGGGCATTGAACTCATAGACGGCGCGATATTTGGCAAAACCCTCGGGCGCTGGCCCGCTCAGATCCACAGCTGGTGCTGCCACGGCGCCAGTGTCATTGGTCAGGCCACCATAGGCATCGGTTGCTGCTGCTTCAGGCTCACCCCAACCTCCGCTAGAGGCGCCCGTATCCCAAGCGGCGGTGGCTATCACCTCGTTCTTGCGATTGTATTTCAATTCCAACACGGAGGTGCGCTCCACATCGTACTCCTTGTAGAGTTCCTCGCATTTGGCGAGCAGAGCGGAGAGTTCGTCCTTTACCTCCGTCATCTGCAGGTCGTTCGAGTTGATGTCCTCCTTCTTGGACTCGATTTCCTTGCCAATGTTTTCCACCTTATCTTTTATCTGATTGATCAGCAGCTACAGCAGAGAAGGGATACATATAATTTATGTTATTGTGGTACAAATAAGTAAAAGTTGTTCATACAAAAACTCACCTGCTTATGGGCAAACGCAGCATTTAGCTGCTCCTGTTGCGCCTCACCGCCCATGGCAGCGCCACTGGACTTGCTCTTCGCATCCCATTTGGCCCGCTCTTGGGTGAGCTGCATCAGCTTGGCATTCTGCTCCTTGATACGCGTCTTTAGCTGGGCCATTTCGCTCATGGAAGTGTCTCGCTGCGTGCGCATGCCATCAATGACAGACTTGACATTGGTCACGCCTGCGCGTGTGTCGCAAATTTTTTGCGACAAGTCCTTAATCTGTAAGGCAGGAAAATTAATACTCATTCCGCTTGGGTATGGCGATAAACAACCTTTTCGTTTAGAGTGCTCAGCTCCACATTAAGCTGCGTGTTGTGTGCCTTCTGTTTGAGGACACGCTCCTGTTCACGTTGCTTCTGTGCGTTCATTTCAGCAATTCGCGCTTGCTCCCACTCCTGCTGACGTTGCTTTTCCAGCTCCCTATATAGAACAAATTCAAATCTCAGTGAAATGAGAATGGAAACAGACTTGGCATAGAACTTACTTCCTGGCTGCTTCCTTGGCCTCGAGCTCTCGTTTACGCTGATCCTCCTTTTCCATTTCAAGTTCACGCTGACGCTGTAGCTGGCGCTCCAATTCCTCCTGCTGCTTGCGCTCCGCCTCTAGGCGAGCCTTCTCGCGCCTGTCCGCCTCCTCGCGTTCCTTGCGCTCACGCTCCTCCCGCTCCTTGCGCTGCTGATCCTCGATCACCTTTCGCCTGCGGTCGAGCTCCGCCTGTCCCTTGACATAGTTCTCCTTGCGCTTGTCCTCAAACGAAGCTAAGAATGGAAATGGATTGACAGTTATTCAATTCGAAGCCTAGAGACTTTCTTCGGGAATCTTACTTTGCGGTAAGCCGGCCAGGAAATCTGCATCGCCTGCAGTCACACCGGACTGGGAGGACACAGACGCATGCCGGGAGGCGGGCTGTGAGCCTGGGCGCGAGACCACCCCCGAAACCGAACCCGGACGCGATTTAATCTTGCGCAAATTTGGCGGCACCCATTCCAAGGGCAGCGTGACGGGTATCTTCTCGCCGGCCATGGCTTTCTCGCAGAGGAACATGGCCAAAATGAACTCCTCGCAGCTGAGTCGCCCATCGCCATCGACGTCCGAGAGCGTCCAGATCTGGGCCAGCGTCACCTGAGGCAGTTTGCTCTGCACTAGAACACTGCGCGCCTGGGCGCCCGTCAAGTAGCCGGAACGGGTGCGGTCATTGGCATTGAATACCTGCGTGTATTTGCGCTTCTGGGCAGCCTGCACGGCCCACTCTCCCTGACTGCGAGATGGAGGAGAAGTTGTTTGGATTACTTGGAGCCCTGCGTAGGTTCGTTCTTGGATCTTACAGTGATTCGATGGATGGCGCCCGCTCCGAAATGGACATATGGCGGCTAGGTGGATTGCTGGAGGGCGGCGTTGGCCCTGCCGGTAGTCCTGGTGGCGAGACAATCGCTACTGCTGCTGGCACCACAGCCACTGGCACTGGGGCAGCGGGCACGGCGACAGGGAGGGCCACTGGAAGGGGAACTGGGGCAGCCACAATGCCCTTCAGCGGATCGAGTGGACTCATGGAACTGCTCGTAGAGCCACGTGGCGTCATTGTGGGCGTTTTCTGGCCTTCGGTGAGCGAGGCCAACAGAGTTGGGGGCAGCGCTTTGGGCACCTCCATGCCGCGCAGCTTCAGATTGATCAGCTTGCATGCTATGCTGAATTCATTGATGTTCATCTTGCCATCGGAATCCGTGTCAGCCAGTGCCCTACAGGAAATTAAGAATTGAGGGGAAAGCAAATATGTAAACAAAATAGCTCTTATCGGCACTGACGCCTCTTCGTGGTAGTCGAAACAATTGATAGCCGCACAAGCTAGTGAGTCACTACACTCCACTATGCTCCACTCACCATATTTGGCCCAAGATCAGAGGCGGTAGCTGGGACTGTAGGAAGAATCCCTTCGCCTGGGCGCCCGTAATGAAGCCCGCCTGGGGCTGGAGGCCTTTGAACTGCTCCTGATACTTGAGCTTCTCCCGCTGGGTCACCGCCCACGCATCCACCGCTGGATTCATTTCGATTCGCGATTATCCTACTTTTCGCAGAAGTTCTTCTCCTTCCTACCGTCCGTCCTTTCCTTTTTATTTCGGTGTTGTATCCTATGCCAGTTTCCTTCCTTCCGTTTGTGTGTGTATGTGTGTGTACTCCCACACAAGTGTGTATAGTTGTGTGCGTGTGCTTAATGCGCTCTCTTCGGCCGCTGCTGGGTACTCAAATACATGTCATGCTCTTGCTCTTGCCTTTCGCTCTCTTTACTATGGCCTATTGAGTATCGTATCCGTTTGCCACTGCTTTTGCTCCCACCACCCCACAATTTTTCACAATGGATTTTATGCTTTACCTGAAATGCAATTCTTAATGTTAGAAGTACACTATGAACAGTTGAAAGCTAGATCAGCGGCAGCGGCCGAGAAAAGTAAATGTAGGTGGCTTTCATAGATTTTCGCATTGGGTTGGTAGGCGTTTTCACTGCACAGAAAACCGACAGGGACAGGCAACAGCTTCTCGGAATTAGCTTGCACTTCTCATTAGTTGCCGACACCAACACCACACACTCGACGCAATTTTACAGGACTTTCTTACTTTTCATTGGAATACAAAAAAATTCCTACTTGCGTATTTGCGTAAATTTTTTGTTTCAATCAATAGTAGGAATCAGTGTGACCAGCAAATTGATCAAGCAGTGCTGTACAATTTTCGAGCTGTATCGCTTATTGCACAAAAATATCGCCTATTCGTGGCAGCACTCCCGATGTTTAGATACATTTTGTTGTGAGACCGTCTGTTTACTTGTGTGTGTGTGTATTTTAGAACAAGTACTATTTATTAAATGGAATTCAACCTAAGCATAAGTTTCTGCTCCCTGCATTTCGTATTTGTTCAGCACTTTTTGTATCTTGTTTGGGTCTTGTACCATATTAGACGAGTTTCGATTTTTTCGATACATATCGCATGGAGAAGGTTAATTTTATAAATAAATTTGTGGTCACACTGCTTTGAAGACCACGTGCGAACAAAATGAAAAATTAGTAAAGAAAATGTCGGAAACTTCAGAAGACGATCAAGCGCAGCTGCAGACAAGTGACGAAGAAGAGCTCAGTGGCGAGGAGGAAGACCAGATAGAGGAGTCGGAAAACGAGGATGATGTCAATGAAGGGGAGAGCGGTGACGAGGATGAGGATGAGGCCGCTGGCTCTGGGTCGGACGCTGCTGCACCAACTGAGGAGGCGAAGTTAACATGGAAGGACCTTGTATGCTACCGTAACCCCACTTTTTGAACTAGTTTTATTTATCTATTGAACGGTCCTCAGGGTCTAAATGACACGCTGTGCCAGGCATGCGAAGAGCTGAAGTGGAAGGCGCCGTCGAAAATTCAAAGGGAGGCCATACCAGTGGCTCTTCAAGGCAAGGATGTGATTGGCCTGGCCGAGACAGGCTCTGGCAAGACAGGAGCATTTGCCCTGCCCATTTTACATGCGCTGCTGGAGAACCCGCAGCGCTATTTTGCGCTGGTGCTAACGCCCACACGTGAATTAGCCTTCCAGATTGGCGAGCAGTTCGAGGCGCTTGGTAAGTGCTCAACTAGTTGTACATATCAGATCTTCCCTTTTGCACAATGATGTTAAACCAGTTTTGATTTTGTTATACAACGAAACCATGAAATTATTATTTTACTTATTCGTCACTACCTCTGAGCAAATCCGGCTAAAGTCACGGCACGTGGTACTCCTAGCAACTCGCGTCTCATGCAAGAATTTGTATCTTTCAGGCAGCGGAATTGGCATCAAGTGCTGTGTGGTTGTGGGTGGCATGGACATGGTTGCCCAGGGCCTGCAGCTGGCAAAGAAACCGCACATAATCATTGCCACGCCGGGTCGCCTGGTGGACCACTTGGAGAACATGAAGGGCTTTAATTTGAAGGCCATCAAATACTTGGTCATGGACGAGGCAGACAGAATACTCAACATGGACTTTGAGGTGGAGCTGGATAAGATACTGAAGGTGCTGCCACGCGAGCGTCGCACATTTCTGTTCAGTGCGACAATGACAAAGAAAGTGAAGAAGCTGCAGAGGGCTTCATTGAAGGATCCCGTCAAGGTGGAGGTCTCCAACAAGTATCAGACCGTCGAGCAGCTGCAGCAATCGTATCTTTTCATACCCGTCAAGTACAAGGATGTCTATCTGGTGCACATACTCAACGAGCTGGCCGGCAATAGTTTCATGATCTTCTGCAGCACCTGTAACAACACTGTGAAGACAGCTCTGATGCTGCGTGCTCTGGGTCTGGCCGCTATTCCTCTTCATGGTCAAATGTCGCAGAACAAGCGCCTGGCGGCGCTCAACAAATTCAAGGCCAAGAATCGCTCCATTTTAATCTCTACAGACGTGGCCTCTCGCGGCCTAGACATTCCGCATGTCGATGTGGTTGTGAATTTTGACATACCCACCCACAGCAAAGACTACATCCATCGTGTGGGTCGCACAGCTCGAGCGGGACGCTCGGGCAGGGCCATTACCATTGTCAGCCAGTATGATATCGAGCTGTATCAGCGCATCGAGCATCTGCTGGGCAAACAGCTGCCGCTCTACAAATGTGAGGAGGACGAAGTGATGGCCCTGCAGGAGCGCGTGGCTGAGGCGCAGCGCACGGCCAAGCTGGAGCTGAAAGATCTTGAGGACACCAAGGGTGGCAGGGGTCACAAGCGTGGTGGGGACAATCACGATGATTCGGAACACTTTGCAGGCGCGCGGAAGCGCATGAAGCCCATGGGCAACGGTGCTGGAGGGGGAGGGGGTAAGGGCAAGAAACCCTTTGCCAAAAAAAACTGGACCAAGGGAAAGCAGAAAAGATAATACATTAATTTTTAGTTATTTAATTAGCGTTATACTTGTCATAAATTTCGGAATACAAAGAAAAAATATTTTTGTAGGCAGGATAATCTATTTATTTTATAAACATGATCTCGATATTTAGCTGTTCAACGCTCGCTTTAGTTAATGTTATCTTCAGTTTGCGTTTAAGAGAGACTGTGGCATATGTCGGCGTATGATACGACGCCGTCATTAACGTATTGTTGATTAAACACTGATTGCAGGTCTGTGTTTACCCCGAGATTGTTGCCCAGGATCTGTGCAGCCTTTATTTGCAATTCCAGACTACCATTTGTCGACGCGTTAATGGCTGCCGATATCTCAGATGGTAAATTGAATCCAGTCTTGAGCAGGTCGCTCAACTGATCAGTGTAGGAATACCAGTAAGAAGATGCCAGCAGTTGTAATATTTTGTAGGTCAGATCCTTGTACTTGTGCGCTTTACTGGGCAGAACCCATAGATACTCCATGATGCACGCCATAGCTTCGAGTTCCCAGCCGTTGTTTTTCAAGATATCAAAGGTTAAACCAACAATGCGCGCACTTTGGGATTTATACAGCCGACAATCGGCGAGCAAGTGCAACAAGTCTTCATGTAGATTGCGGTTGCTGTAAGCATTAGCGAAGCATTCAGCGAAATGCAGGAACAGAAATTGATTACGTCGTAGCAGACCATATGTGATCAGAAGACTATCCGCACCTAGGTGCAACAGTTTGTTGAACACATCTTTAAAGTCGCTGATGCTATGATTACACTTGTGAACCTGACACTCATCGTAAATAGCGTCAAAGCAGTGGACACCAAATAAATCAGGCATCCAGTGTAGAGAGTGTTGCCATTGCGTTTCGGTCACACTAATTAGCTCCGCAGGCCGAGGGTGGTATTCAGGATAAATTTCATAACTTCCATTATCAACATCCGTCGTCATCATTGATAAGTAACACCGTTCTATATTCATTTGCTGTGGCTGGGCGTACTGCGAGTGCCTTCTAGTCAAAATCGGCCTTACAGATAAAGCTGCAGGATTCTGTGCAGATGCAGCTGGAGGCTGCTGTACAGACACAGCTGGAAGAGGCACTGAATATATATTTCGCACAAGTGCGTTGCCTTGCATCAGAAACTGTTCCTGGTTGTTAAGAGACTGTTTCATTGTTGGACTACATACTGAAGTCTGTGGGAACGGCCTGTTTACTGCGATTTGGTTCCCCTGTGGCATCCTGTGTACTTGAGCCTGTGCCTGGCCATTGGGTGGGTTCTGCCATATCGACGCCACTGAAGTTACAGCTGAACGTGGCCCTAGATTTGGGTAGCGCTTGTTTTGGCGAACGCCAAGCTCTCGTCGGCCCCTTTGAGGAGGTCTTGCAGAACCAGACGCAGCAAATGTAGGAGTCGCCGTTGGTGGTTGATTAATTTGAAGATTCTTCTCTTTCTTTGTGTATGGAGTTTGCTTTAGTTGCTCTGACTTAGGGTTTTTTTTCTGATTCATTTGAATGTTTTTCGATGGCATTCGGGTTTGACTGTTCTCGTTCTCTCCAAGCTCTTGGTTACTCTCCAAATCGTCCAGGCCATCCCAAGATGTATTCATTGACAACACATCGTCCTCAACCACGTCGTCGTCTTTTTCCTTGTCATTTACAACGTCCAGTGACGGATTCGGGTTGAATTGACTGGCGATTTCGCTTGGTGACAATTTCCAAGACATTTTTAAGTCGATTTGCGGCGTTGTTTTCTTAGTAGGCCGGCAGCAACAACGGTAGAGGCATGATGCTTTACGATTATTCGATATTTTCGGCCATTTTTACATGTCTTGAAGCAGTGTTCACACACCATCAATTAATTGTATTGCAAAACTTTTTTAATTTTTATTTACTATAAATGCGAAAAATATGACATCTTAAATAATTGTTTATGATGATTTTCACCATCCTTATTAAAAGTCAACACTTAAACCGCCTGCGTCAAGAGCTTGAGTACTCCTAATGTTTACCGTGTATGTATCCACTTACATACATATACAGATATATGTACATCCGTATGTGTGTACCTCTTTGCTCATGTCCAAGGCGGCACATGCCAACAGTAAAACGAATATTTTAATAGAAAACCATAAAAAAAACTGAAACACAGAAAATATAATAAACCCTCTATAATTTCTATAGTTATTAGTTCTGTTTTATTAAATCGTCATAATTATTGTAATACAAACATGTTTGTAAACTTATAAATTGAAATATTTAATATCATTACAGTAATGATACCAAGTCCGATGGGATTTTATAATTGCGCACCGAAATACATATAACTGATTGTGTTCGATTCTACTGTTCAACAGCCTTTTAAAAATATATTGTTCCCAGCTGGTGTACCTCTCATTGAGGGTTATCTTCCATAAACTTAACAATAGCTTTCGTAAGCTCTGTGTTCGATCCCCCAGAGCCGACTCGAAAGACCAACAAGAGCTTCAAAGCGTCGTTTTTTAATTCTTGTTTCCCGTGCGTCGACGAGAGAATGGTTATCAGTATATTAGGTGGTAAATGGAACCCTTGTGTTTGGCATAGCTTCACTATACTATCACTATAAGTGTACCAATTGGAGGTTGATAGAATTTGTAAGATAATTAACGTCAGTTCCCTGAACTCGTGCGCTCTACTGGGCGCCCATAAGGTACTCATAATGCAACACGTTGCATGCGTTTCCAAGCCCTTGTTTTTCATGGCAGTGAAGACTTTGCTAACAATTGGAGCACTAAAGGACTTGTATAAGCGGCAATCCATCAGCAAGTGCATCAAGTCGTTTTGCATATTTTTCGAGTCAAATACATCCACATAAACCGAAGCAAATCTGAGAAAGAGACGCTGACTATGCATTACTATTCGGTGATATGTGAATAACAGATTATGCTCATCCAATTTCATCACTTTCCGTGTAAACTCTCCTATGCCGGTGAATGTATGGTTACAGCATTGAGCGGTGCAATCATCGTCTAGATTTGCATAGCACTTGACTCCAAATAAATTCACCATCCAGTACTCACAACTAAACCATTCCTTATCACTAGGACGAAAGGAATTGTTATTCACAGCTGAATAACGATATGGCGGGGCAATTTTCGGTTGAGGTTTCGCCATATCTCGAGCGGGGAATATCTGTTCACGTGGATTGCCAAACGATTGCGTTATTGTTGCAGCAGGGTTCATCATGGATTTATCCTGTAGCTGCGTTACAATTGGAGCAGGCGCTGAATACGCTGGATAAGTCGCTGCGTATTGTTTATGCACTAGCGCATTCTCCCGAAGCTGTATCCTTTCCTGGTCGTTGGTTGAGTATATTATTGGTATACGTACTGAAGACGTTAGGAGGCCTGTAGGAGGCATTGAATATATGGTTTGCGCTTCTATATTCCTCTCTGACCGTCCGGTAAACGTGTGCATTATTGGTGTGCACTCTGTAGGTCTTGTGTATGCCGTATGGGTTAGGCTTGTCTTCTGGTCATACTGGGATTGAATTATTGGGGCAGGCACTAAAGGTAATGTTGAAGAGGGCACTTCATGATGGTCGAGTACAAACAACGGCGCAGCAGACCCTGATTGTTTCCGTTTCGTTAATATCCGCTTCTTTGGCTCCGGCTGTTCCTTTTCTTTCAGTATTTCCTCGTTGACGCACAGCGTTGGCATTATTGGCTGTTGCGTCTCCAGTGCCTCTGTATTAACTCGGGGTATGCGATAGTTTCTGAACGAAGCTTTTATAATCTCTGGTTTAGTCTCCACTTCATTCATGCCATCCCAAGATGCAGCCGTAACCGATAAGACATCATCGTCAATGTCTCCATCCTCTTCGTAGTCAAGAATGTCCTCCTCTTCGCCGGTGAGCAGCATGAGGTCTGCCTTTTCCATATCGACTTTGGAGGAATTTGGCAAGATTTCAAAGATCGCCGTTGTGTCGGCTAGTTGATCGTAAATTTCGCTTGGTGTGTTACTGGTAAAGCTCTTCAGGCAATTATCAATTTCTGGAGATATCTCAATGTCCTCCACATTGTTCTCGCTGCTTAAATCGATCTGTTGCTCACTCCAGCAGTTGGTTATGGCGCTGTCGGCCTTTTCGGCTGCCTTTTCTAAATCAATATCTGTCTGCTCTACGGATTCCTCAAATATGTTAGTGCTTAAATCGATAGGAGTTGGATCCATTTCAATCTTAGGCATTGAACGAGCACTCTCCAGATGTCGGTTAATCTGTGGCAACAAAATAAATCTGTTAGGATGTATATATTCCATAATGCAGCTTACAACTTTTACTGGAACATGTGCTTGTCTCCTTCTCTTGATCGGCTGCAATGGTGTTGGTTTGGTTGGTTCAGTCGGTGATTTACGCTTAACTGACCCTGGAGATACGGGACTCTTGGCACTATGGTTTTCAATATTTTCAGGTTTTCTTCCCTCTGCTTCAGTGGCATTTTGGTCAAATAATATTTGTTTCCGCAATTCAGACAAGGGCAAATCGTCAAGCGAATCCATAAGTTCTTTACTTTTCCAGCCAGATTTCAGGGTGTCGTGACGCCTTTTGACGATGCTAGAGCGCGGTCTGTCTTTATTTGCATGCTTCAATGAATGCGATAACTCCGCCAGACTCTGAACGATAAAAAGTATATTTGAGTAGCTTTGATATTTAATATAAGCAAAATCGATGTTTCATACCATTGAAAACTCAGGGCTGGATGTAGTAGATTCTTCGGGAGTCAATGGCGGAATGTGTTCGTCTGGAGACGCCTGCGGTTTGCTACCAGCTAAAACCGAGCTTTGGCTAGACTTTAATGGTCCCGATTGGTCCGCCTGAACAATAGAAATTGTAAATTTCTCAATTTTCATGCATTATTGATTTTCTTTCTTACTTTTTTAAGCTCAATGTTGGGTTCACCAAGAGTCGGTGCCAGCTCTGGCGATTTTTCTTCCTAAACGATATAAATTAGAATTACAATTTAAAGCAATTCTACTTTTTTTTAGTTTCTTACCTGGCGATCAAGAAAAGACCCCGAAGATCCATGGTTAGTGTGCTCTCGAGCAGGCGAAATATCTCCATCATGAGTGGCTTCTTGCTCTGGACCGCCTGTGCAGCTGGGTTTACGCTTAATTTTACGTGTTTGCTTCGTCTGAAGGATAGATTTTTTATTTTGATACCTATTTTTACAGCATACCTTCTTAATATCTGTGTTAGCCTCTCGAGGAGGCGGTTGAGGGCCGTCAGCATTAAGCGAGGTATCTCTAGGTTTTGATGATCCAGATTTGTGTGCCTATAAGATATAATTAAAAGAATATAGTTGAATGGTTTAACTTGCGATAGATAGACAAATGTTGACCTACATTTTCAAGCCCAGGTACGTCCAAAAGAAGCGAATTGGATATACGCTTTGAAGACCGCAATTCATGCAACTGAAGAATATAACTTTTTTTTTGTATATCTATGGAATCAGTATTTATTTTGCATCTTACCTTTTTGGGGTCAGGGAGATCCAGAGAAAGCCAGTTGGGTATTTCCTTATATGAGACATTGGGCTCCTGAGCAGTCGCTTCAGTTTCCGTATCAAGTTTCAAGGTTCGTCTACTTCTTGAAGTCCGCAATTTGTCGCCCTGAACGATATAAGTCATATGTTAAAAGTTATTAAAGAAGTCCGCAGTAGTCCGTAGTAGATTTTCTACCTTTTCAAGGTCCAGGGGCAGCGAGTTGGGTCTACATTTGGTCGGGTTCGATGTGTCAGCGAGCTCACGAGCAGTTGAAATAGTTCCAGTAGATTCTGTAGTCTCTAGCGGATTTGTCACAGTTTTGATGGGCTTTTTTAATTTCTTGTGGCCTGCCCTTACATTTTCAAGCTCAGTGGGCCCATCAGGATTCAGTGCCAGTTCCGCCTGTGCCTCCACCTGAAATATAGGGTTGCTTTGTTTTAATAGTTGTTGAATCAGCATTTAACAGATTGCTTACCACTCCATAGATAATGTGTTCCCGAGGAGGTGGAATCGATCCATCTGTTTCAGCCGTGCTGTAGCTAGGCGTTAATGATCGCGATTGGTCCGTCTGTACGATATAGATAATAGTTAGTAACATTCAAACGGCATCAAATTAGTTGTATACCCTTTCAGGGCCCCGCAGGTCCGGAGAAATCGAACTGGGTCTGCGCTTCGATGAGTCATTGAGCTCCTGAGCAGGCAAAATAGATCCGCCATGAGCTGCTTTCGGTTCCAAACTGCTTCCACGCCTTGCTGGCTGCCGGTGTTTGTCCTGGACGATAGAAATGATGTTACCTATGTCCCTATTCAATCAGTATCTGTAATGTTTCTTGCATTTTGGAAGTCGGTGTGATCCTGAGAAGGAGATGTGGCATCGTCGTCTAGCTTTATCTGCTGGAACACGGCTTCGATCATTTCATCTACAGATGGCTTATCCTTATGAAACGATCGAAATAAATAGGAATTCAATAAAATGCATTTATTTTCACATTACTGTGTGTGCGGATATACAAACCTTTCTGTCCCAGCTCCGTAAGAAGTCTACTTGGTAATATTGCCACTCGGCCTCCGATAATTTATCTTCACCATGTTTTTCCTTCAATCGCCGGAACAGTTTGAGCTTCAGCTCCTCTCGCATTTTTTTGGATCGCACGTGAAAATTAAAATTAAACACAATTTTTTTTTGGTGGCACCAAGTGCCGTTATGATAGGACTGTCAAATATATCGATATTTATTTAAAATAAAAATATATTTATATCGTGATTTTTTTTCCAAAATATCAATTTATTCATAGGCTTTTGATTTTTTTTGATATGTTAATGTCGGATCTAATAAGGATCTAAATAAATATACATTATATTTCTGGTGTTCGTTCGGCAAACAACTCTTTTTTGAGTTCAACATTTTCAGTGACTTTTTTCTAATATTCATCATAAACTTAAGTACATGGTCAATGCGGACTCATCGTCTGCGACCAACCAATTTCGCTATAGCTATTAAATAAAAACAAAAAATAATAATAATAAATATATTTGGTTTATTGTATTTGAGCAGAAAATTGGATGTCTGTGCGTGTTTTGAACCAAAAAACAATATAACCACTCAAAAGGAATATATATGTATAGCAAAGAAAAGTTGAAAAAGTCCAATTAAAACACAGAAAACTGGAATACGGATTAAAGATGTTATAAACATATGTAAGGTTTCTGTTTTCTTTTTGGGAACTATTTTTTCCGGTGCTCGCGGAATTGAAAATAAGCAAATATTTACAGGCAAACAAATATCGAAACTATCAAATATATCGATATTGCTGCAGTGATATTGTTGATATCACTTTGATATTTTTTCCAAACAAAATATATCACCGATATTTTTTTTTAAATATTTGTCAGCCCTATCAACTATATCATAATCATTTTTTGAAAAATAGCGCGCGCAAGAAAAGAGAAGAAATTCTATTGCGCGGGAATATACATAGGTAAATATTATAATAAGCTCGGAGGGGTTTGAGGGGCAGTTCTTCTATCTTCACGACATAATTGCTCCTTTCTTTTGCAAAGGAACACGGATAATGATGAGAAAATCATCATTATCGTCTAACTAATCACCGATTCTTTGATTTTCTTTCTGTTCTCTTATTTTTATATACTCTCACTCATTTTCTACTCCTAGTGGCCAACCTTCACCGATAGATGTCCATCCGCCGTTAGAGTATCCAGCATTTCTCCCGCCTAACAACATGGTAGTTGCCTCAATAATCCATTCCCCTGTCAATCTAACTTCGGACTCAGTTGCCAGTGATGCCATCCCCAACAGGATCCAGCATCCAGTGCAAAGGATTGTCCACTTTCTGTTACATTGAATGGGGATGCATCTGCAGCCTCTTCTAGCTCCTCAGATCCGCACTAAGACTTTTAGGAGTAGCTCCACCAGCTCGCTTTTCTGGAGTACCACTCATAGCAGTGGTCCCCCGCAAAGCAATCTTTGTCTCTCGTCTTATACCTGAAGCCACTACGGATGATGTCAAACTACATCTAAGCTCTTATCTCTTATCTTTTCTACCCGATCTCTTGTATCCAAATCTTTGGAACCGTTTTCATGGCCTGAGCACAATATTATGCATGAATTTCTGCCATAAAATTCTACCCAGAATCCTTGATTTACTGTCCATAAGATTTAAAAAAAGTACGGAGCCATTTCTCCATTCAATTTCCGAACGTACGCAGTCTTTTATTTAAATTGTCCCAAATACATACGGACAGTGCCTCTTTAGAATTCGACGCTATCGCAATAACTGAAACCTGTCTTAACTCTTCTGTCTCCGGTCGTATATTTTTTCTGTAAGCCTCTCTGGTTTTCCATGTATCTTCTGTTTAATATTACCGGCTAGTTAGGACTGTAATTTTTGTAGATTTTCATGACTTATCTTTATTGGATTGATTGGGAAACAAGGTAAAAACTAAAAACGTCAACCAGAAAAATAGCATTATATTCTTTTTGAACTGTCCTCAGTTAGAGGGTATCCATCGCTCCAAGAGTACAGGATACCATCGCTTTTTGTTGTGACGATATTTTTCTTTGATATCCATTTGTAGTTATCATGCAGTAAAATTTTAAAATACATATCTTCCCTCTATTGTTAGGGCCCATCAATCCAATTAAAGGGATTATTTAAAAATTTAGAATTAGCCAATTGATTTATTTAATTATATTTATAATTATATGTTCAGTGCTGAGATTAGTTAGTTAGGCTAAACCAAACTAAGGAAAAGTATTTAAGTAAATTATCAGATGGTTATCCCATCAATGGCGCCTTTATTTTAAAAAGAGCACATACATTTGGAGCTGATGTTATTTATGGTACACAAAATATCGCGAGAAACCTCAAAAAGTAAAACCTGGGCGTTATTAATCAAAAATAAAAATTTAATAGATATATGTACATTAAAAAAGGTATGCAATACCACCATACATTCTTTTAAAGAAGGAATGCATGAGTGTTTCTACACGATTTATTGGGTTGTTTTTAGTCTGCCAAAAATACATGGAATTAAGCTAGTTAAAATTTCTACTTCTATAAAAGAAATCAAAAGTCAAAATTGTACTAATCATAAATATTTGCACAACGCACTCGGCCAACTACAATCGTTAAAAAGTCGTTGAAAGTCCCGTCTGTCCCGCAGCTAAGAGCATTCTACGTCGAAAAGCTCACAGATGCCTTCGTCACTTTTCAGTACAAAGTTAAAGTCATCATGCGGTGGATTCAGTTGGACAAGTGGCGGATTTTCTGTAATAGATCATATAAATCACATATTATTGGTCTACGACATTCGGATGCCACCGATGAGAAATGGGCACCAACACCAACCTAAATTGGGATCATCGGGGTAAAATCTTCTCAGCGAGTGGCCAGTCATATAATTTTGAAAGATTATTTTCGCAGTGAGTTCGTTTTCCAGCAGCTTCATCTCCTCTTTTAGATCGGGATTGCATGAGTACGTGTGCTCGTCCGTGATGACGTTGCCAGTGCTTGTTGGACCGCTTCCATCTTCACTGGATCGGGAGGAGATGGATGGAGATGGGGTGTCCAAGCGCCGATAGTCAAAGAAGCCGTCAGCGTCGTTTGGATTTGTTGTACTCTTTCCCTGGCTTGTGACCAGCCGTATATCAATGGTGCTGCCATTGTCCAGGGAAACGCGGAGTTCGCTCTGTTTGGGAAGGCGATGAATTTAGCATTTCTACTATGGTTAATTAGCTTCTAAAAAGTAACTTACATCATTGTGCTGGATCTCCACCTCTTCGTCGTAATTGGGTATGGTAAACACCGAGTTATCCGCATACATTTGGAGAAGATCGTCCCGCGTGAGATAGGCATATGAGAGATTTGTTGGATCTTGCATTACATATCGCAGATTCCGTTGCGCATACTCTAGCTGTTTGTCCAGATCTTCCTCCTCCTCCTTCAGATGATTGGTTCGCTCACGCGCCAGGTCGTACTCCTCTTGGTCCTTGGTATTGTTGAATCCTCCTCCGCTGTTGCGAATACAAAATTGGACAAATGGAACACCATAAACAATGGGAATACTTACCGCCAGCGCACAAGGGAACAGTGTCTGCCTTTATCAATCAGGCCAATGCCCTCCAACACATTGGTTATATCGTATATACGACGCTTCTGCACATCCAAGATTTTCGTGGCCTTAAACCAACGCATTAAATAAATGTAGCCAAACAATGTCAATACACTTACCTCTTTCAGATCAATTGACCCACCATTCGACTTCATGAGCTCCACAAATTTTTGGGTTAATAAGACCAGAGAGCCCACAGAGCGCTGCTGACCTGGCTGGGGTTGGGACGGTGACTTTAGCGATTGTTGCTGCTGCTGGTCCTGGGACATGTCCATGTGAACGCTATCATTCTCATACGACTTTATCGTCATCGTCTCATCCATGTCCACATTGCTAGCAGCACCTTTGGCGCTGATGTTCTTCATCGTGAGGCCAGAGCCCGGGCCCGCGCTGTCTCTTATTCCAATGCTAGCAGATTTACGCTTGTACATGGCACGCGTTCTAATAGAAGTCTTTGTTCGATATATGTTAAATATATAAGTGGATGAGCTGGATTTGACACGCGTTTAAACAACTTAAAGATTGCCTATTTTTACGATAAATCACACTTAAATACAAATGTTGGCGCTTGAGCAAAATTTTCCGCCATTTATTTATGTCACTTTTTTCTATTCTGACTTTTAGTGCTGTGTAATGACGCATGGGCATGACTGTACAGCTGCACAGCACTGACATTTTTCAATTTGCCAACACAAGCGGCTGCTTAACCCTAGAAGGTAGCGGAAATTTTACCCCGCAAAGGCATTCTTCGTCAAACAGGAGTCCTTTTACAGTACAAAGACACTTTTCAACTTTTATAATATGAAAACAATACGCAATTGTTTTTTGTGAAAAAAGCCATTATAAACTTTTTAAGTTTTTTTAAGCTTAAATCGACTAGAGATTTCAGAGCTGGAGTGTCTACATGAAAAAATAGAAAAACAAACAAATAGTGGGTTCGAGTTACCCCTTCTAGGGTTAAATACTATGAAAAACAAATTAAATTATATTTTATATATATTTAATTTGTTTCTATAGAGTTGTTGAATCTGCATCATCTGAATTTGGTTTTTGACTCTCCTGCAGCCTTTGCAGCTGCTTTAACTGCGCATCTCGTAATACATCTAGGATTTTCCACTTTGCTTCAAAAAAAAATTCATCGTGTATTTGCTCCAAATCAATTCGAATTACCTGCGGGGGAGAAGTATCATGCTCTAGTAAAGTCAAAATAGAATTTACAATATTACCTCGCAAAGATTCGCAATATGCTGAGACTTGTTCGAAATTACATACTCTGATGGAAATACCGCCATTGCTTCATCTGCTTGTATAGTTTGCTCACTTCCTGAATCCATGCGATCTGATTCCACCACCTGGTCGTTGTTCGGCTGCTCTTCGACCGCAGCGGGCGCCTGGCTGAGAAAACCAAAGTCTGGATAATCAAAGAAATTCGGCATCGGTCCCTCCTTGGCTGCCTCCCATTGATCTCGCAGAACATGCACTTTTCGTTTGACGGGCACAACCGGCATATTTGTATCTATGGCAGAGGCAATATCCTTCCACACCTTCTCCTGGTACTCGGAACTCTTGTAGTCCGGACAATTCGGATTCCAGAGACATTCATTCTGCCGATATAGTTGTATCAGCTTGGTCACCGTATCCTTTTGCGACAGTAGTGTGTGGAATTTGGCTCTTCGATTGATTTTCACATTGAATGCATTCAGACGACGCTGCGGCGAAGATGCCTCCGCGTCCGAATCGGAGGAGAATATATTTATTAAGCTGTGATAATTCTTTTTGATTAATCCAATAAAGCTTGAGTTTGACATGACAACTAATTTTCACAGTATTAATTTTGAAACTGGAATCTTTCAAACCCAGAACTCACTCACACACACACACACATGTGTGTGTCAGGTTTCTCTGAGGCTAGGGCAAATTCCAGCGAACGAATTTCTTTAAAATTGGTTTGATTTTAGTAGGTTTACGCTTCACACGAGTCTCGTGAATGACCAAAAGTATCTTCTTTTGTGCTTTCAAGCAAACATCTGGAGCAAGCTGGCTCAGTTCTTGCCTTAATTCAAAACAGAATTCATCCAAATCGTCACGGGCAGCTTCGCAAGAGCCTTCCTGACTGTCGTCGTCAGATTCTTGGAGTCCTCCAGAGTCTTCCAATGCAAAGGAAGCAGGCTGCTCCACTGTGAGACTGGGTTGCAAGTCATGGGGAGGAGCTTCTGTAGGAGTTTGACTCGCAACTTTCACTACCTCCGGCAGCAGGAACTGAAACTCTTCCAGAAGATCAAAGGACGGCTTGCCACAGAGTCCTCCCCTAATTTTACATGCTTCAATGCGTCTAAACTCGGCCAAGGCTTGTCTACGCAGGCCATGAATCACACATTCGACTTCAGATCCCGACACGCCCGGACCAAACTGTTTCGCTATCCAGCTCCAAAGTTGATTTCTGTTTCTAAGGTTAGGGTATTCCGCATGCCGTTTGTTCCACAGACACTCGTGGCCGGCGTAGAAGCGAATCATGGTGATAAGATTTCCTTTGCGAGCAAAGATATTTTCCAAATACTGTACGCGGTTATTATTTTGACTTTGCTCATGTTGCCTAGGGGGGTATCGTTTGGAAGAAAGCATGGTGTTTAATTTGAGATTTCGAGTAAGAGCCGAGCCAAGCCAAAACAGGAAATTAGTGTCTGGGCGCACTCTGATCTGATTTTTAAAATTCGTAATATAATTTGAATGGCACGCCCGCCACGTTTTCTCAGGTCTGACAGACGTTTCACAACACTGACTTTTTCGCTTCGTTTGTTTTGCTCTCACATTCTTCACCCCGTGGAACAACGTGCACAATTTTTTTTTTGATATTAGTTAAAGTAATAATACAATTAATAATAAAATGCCGTCGAAAATCAAGCCGAGACTCTCGCGTGGTGTCCTGGACATGAAGTTCATGCAGCGAACCAAAGTCAAGGTGGACAAGGAAGATGACGACGAGCAGAGTCGGGCACTGTACTCGAACGAAATCAACGCGAAAATGCTGAACTCCAACTCCAACTTCATCATCGAGCCCAGCTACACCATTTGCGCTGGCCTCATCGACGGACGTCTCAGTTTTCGTGGCATGAACCCGGAGCTGGAGCTGCTAATGGAGCAGGAGTTGGCTCAGAAGCTGGCTAAAGTGAAACCCGAACAGCCCAAGGAGGTGTCCGACCAGGACATGGCCAAGGCATACTACACCAATAAGGCGCCCAGCGTCGCCAATAACATGTCCAAAAAGTTTAGTACGAAGAACGACCTCAAGCGGAAGCAAGGCCAAAAACAACAGAAGCCACAGTTCAAGAGACCTCGCGACGAAGACGACGACTGAGAAGCGCAGACTTAGTTGAATCATTGCTTTAAACATTAAACCTTTTAGTTTTTACATAGTGTCTTAATGCTATTTATCTTACAAATAGAACTTCACTCCGAATCTTTCACTGCTTGCAGGGCGTAGCACATTTGGGTCGTGTTTATCCAGCGCCAAGAGTTGTTCCAGAAGTCGTAGGTGCTGCCATTCACCAGCACGGTCTGACAGTTCACTAGGGGACAGAACATGAGCATGTTTTAGTGCCATACAGCTAATTCCTACTTACTCGTGTCCAATATGCGTTGAACATCCAGTGGGGAAATCATCTTATCCCAATGATGCGTGCCCCTGGGCACCAGGTTCAGCACATACTCGCTTACGGCCACTCCGGCCACCCACATGGGAAGAGTTTTGTTCAAAGTGGTAATAAATATGGATCCGCCTGGTCTAAGGCTACGCACACACGCTTCCAGCAGGGCCACCTTGTCATCCACGTGCTCCAGTACCTCGGATACAATGACGGCATCGTAGCGCTCGCAATTCGCTTTGGCATGCTGATTGACTGGCTCCATTTTATACTTCACATTGCTGGACAGCTCCGGACTAAGCTCCGTCAAATGAACCTTAGCAGCGGCAATCAGTTTGTCGGCTAAATCTATGCCCGTAACCTGGGCGCCCAGGCGCGCCAGTTGCTCGGTCAGCAGACCACCGCCACAACCAACTTCTAGCAGGCATTGTCCCTTCAAGACCTTTGTTGTATTTACGTAATGAGACTTCACATTGCCGCGCGCAACGATGCCATCGCGTATAAAGGGAACGCTGCGCAGAATTTAGAACTTTGTACTTGGGCGAATAATTTCTGGAAATCTGGAAACATACCGTATTTCATTGAGGGCATGCAGTGCTTCCATTGTGCCATTCTGGTTCCACCAATCTGTGGCTTGATTCTCATGATGTTCCACTTCGCGTTTTGTGTCGGCATCGAGTGTTGCACTGCCCCCGCCGCCGGTGCTGCTGTTGCTGTTGTTGCATCTGCCCAACACTTTAGCCAGAGTCTGCAGCAGCTTGCTGTGATACGGAAATGGAACAGTAAAATGGCAAGAAACAATTATTGCTTAATTACCATTTTTACCTGTGCGGATAAACCGAATTTCGCAGCATAATTCTGGTGGCAACAAAAACAATTTTCACGAAAAACAGCTGACAGTCGCCCTGTGCATTGACAATCTCCTCTCTCCACAACACACTCACGCTCTCTCTCTCTCTCTCTCTCTCACTCTCTGTCTCTTTGTAGAATTGCGATTCAGTGTGGTTCTTTCTTTATCATTCTTCAATGCAAACGAGAGAGAATTGGCATTATCACTTGCGACTTGCGTATTATCGATATAGATAACAAGGTGGAGTGTGGCTATTACTAATCGGCGATCATTTAGGATTTTTTGTTCACCCAACAATGCCGCAGCAATATAAGCCGCTGCATAACGAGGAAGATGTGGAAAATGCCGCCGCCGATGCCACCACAACAGGAGAAAACAGACAGCAACAAACACAACAGCAAGAGGCTAATCCACCGGCCGTGCAGTTGCTGATGGTTTCGCTGTTCATGCTGCTCTTCTTTGGCTCCTCGTTCTTCCAGCCACGGCCACGATTGCAGCACCTGAAAGGCGGCGTCGGCAGTAGGTATGATCGGACCAAGTACGACTGTAATATCCAACTGGTGGAGTCTATACCCATTGGGCTCAACTATTCCGAGAACAGTCCACGGTTTTTGAGCACCTTTGAGGCCTGGCAGCAGCTGTTGGACAGCGCCAAGGAGTCCCTGGACATTGCATCATTTTACTGGACGCTGCGCGCTGAGGATACACCCGGCGTGAACGACACCAGCACACATCAGGGCGAGGAGATCTTTAAGCGCTTCATGGCCAATGGAAACGGTGGCAGTAACAGGCTTAACATACGCATAGCCCAGAGTGAACCCTCGAGTGTGTCGCCCAATGAGGACACCAAGCTGCTGGCCAGCAATGGAGCTGCCGATGTGGTAACCCTCTCATTCCCCAAGTACTTTGGCGGCGGTGTCCTGCATACGAAACTTTGGATTGTAGATGGACAGCATTTCTATTTGGGCAGCGCCAACATGGACTGGCGGGCACTGACGCAGGTCAAGGAAATGGGAATACTGGCCCAGAACTGTCCACAGCTCACCGAGGATGTGGCCAAGATCTTCAAGGCCTATTGGTATTTAGGAAAGAGTACGGATTCAAATATACCAAGATGGGGCAATGATTATTCGACGCACTTTAACCTCGATTCACCAATGGTATTAAGTGTGAACAAGAACACAACGATGGAGGGATTTTTGTCCAGTTCCCCGCCACCACTTTCCGCTTCCGGTCGCACCAACGACCTGGACGCCATAATAAACACCATCGATTCTGCCATTACCTATGTGAACATTGCTGTGATGGACTACTATCCGCTGATCATTTATGGCCAGCATCCAAAGTATTGGCCTTACATCGATGATGCCTTGCGCCGGGCGGCAGTGGAGCGGGGTGTGGCCGTAAAGCTGCTCATCTCCTGGTGGAAGCATTCCAATCCCAGTGAGGATAAATACCTCAAATCCCTGCAGGATCTCAGCTCCAAAAAGGACAAAATCGATATACAAATTGTAAGTAGATCAATTCAAGAATTTTATGAAATTAAACAAACTTTTTTTCAGCGCCGTTTTATTGTGCCCACGGATGCGGGTCAAGAGAAGATACCGTTTGGTCGGGTGAATCACAACAAATACATGGTGACCGATCGTGTGGCATACATAGGAACCTCCAATTGGTCTGGGGACTACTTCACCGACACAGCCGGCATTGGCCTGGTGCTCAGGGAAACGCACGAAACAGAGCAAACTCAAACACTGCGCAGCGACCTGAGGAATGTTTTTGAGAGAGATTGGAATAGTCCCTATGCTCATGAGCTGGAATAGATTGTTAAAAGTGCTACGAACCGTACTTCAAGCTATTCAGTTTTATTTTATTGATTTTTTTAATGATTATCTTTTTTGATTATATTTTTGGATGTAAAATAAAATAATTCGCTTCATACCACAGAGAAAGAATTGTGAACATTTCAATTATATATAAAATTATTTACAAAGAAAACAGCAAAATCTATTCCAGTTTAATAATAATTAATTTCTTCATTCTGGGTTTGTTGCTTTTGATTTTTCAATACATTGGATTTGTCGATTAGACCACGATTAATAACTCTAATTAAACTTATTATTAAATACTCTTCAACTTTAACATTGAACTTACGATTAAGATGGTAGGGGGTTTAGGGTTTAGGAGAATCACCAGACAAGGGCTGAGAGGTATCCGTATTCTGGGATGATCGGTGATCACTTGACATTGGCATTGCCGCCGCGTTTCAGGAAATTGTTGCTTGCAATGCTCTTGTCTATTAACACATTAATGTTGGGCACGCGATTCAGCAGCGTGTTGTAAATAAGCATCAGGCAACGAGCATCAATGGCTGCAAAAGGGAATAGTTCATTAATATTTCTGATCCAATGGATGGGACTGACAAGGACTTACCTGCATATAATATTTGTTCGCGACGGAGCGGACGATTGGCCCAGTTCGAGCATTGATTTGACTTGTTTAGCTTCTTGCCCAGACAGACCAGCGATAAATCCGACAGAGCATCGCCCGCCCGATTGACATTGCCAAAGGGCAGCTCAATGCCAAAGCGCTGCTTCTTCAGCTCCAGCCAAAGGCTGCGCAAATCGAGGTAATGATGCGCCAACAACAGGCGCAATTGCAGCGGCAACGAACGCTGCAGCACCATCAGATCGCTGTACATGGAGAAGCCCACCTTTAGGATGTTCATGTTGTTGAATACATCCGCTCCGAGGGCACGCCAGTGATTCGCCGTGATGCTCTGCCTGGCCAGGCAATCGATCAGGTAGACATTGCGCACGGTGGCTATCTGCAGCAGACAGAGCTGACAATCTCCGCACACATTCTGCACCCACTCCGAGTCCATGTATATGATATGTTCTCGCTTCAGATGGCCAAGCATACGCTGGAACTGCGATGCCGTGTCCACAATGAGCAGACAATCGTCTGGCAGATCCATGGTCAGGTACATATCACAGCCAATGCCCGAAGAAGTGGCTCCATTATCATCGGAGGTTTGAGGGGCTTCCTCTTCGTTAATGCCGCGTGAGATCTGCGATATAATGTCGTGCGGAAAATCCTTGGGCTTCAGCTTGAACTCTTTGTACCAGTAGACGGCCTCGTTGCGTGAATCTTGAGCCCCCGCCACATATATGACAAATTCCACCTGCAAGGCATGATCGGAGGCATGCACGCTAACCATTTCCCGAAAGCTGGCCAGATTAATGCGCGACTTCTCGTACTCTCGAAACAGATAATGCAAGTAGCCGCAGGTTTTTGTAAACTTGAAGTTCGGTGTGACGCCATCATCGAAGCCATATTTCTTTGCCAGGCGAGACACCATCTTCGACATGGGGCGATAACTCAGCACATTATGTGAGACCTTCAAATTCTTGTAGCGACTGCAGTGGAAATGGAAATACTTAAATGTTTGAACGCGTTACACATGAGGACTATTACTCACTCCAGAATGGGCTCGCACAGTTCAAAGACGGACTTATCTTTGTGCAGCAGCGAGTCAAGAAACTTAACAAACGGCAGGCGTTGGGATGTCGCCTGGTCCAGGTACACTTCGGCCAGAGGCAGCTTCTCCTGTGCAATCAGTGGAAACGCCAGCTCTAGCATATCAAATTCGTGTGCCATCTGCAGGCTGATGGCCCACTGGGCCACCTCCTTGTACTGGCCAGCGTCCAGCATCTCGCGCAGCTTGGGCAGCAGCAGCTGGCGTATCTGATGCAGGCGATATGCCTTGATTATGGCATTGTTGAGTGAGAGCACGCCCGAGTTCTTCACGAAATTAAATGCTATCATGCTAGTGTTCTCATCACAATCCAGCTGCGGATAATCCTGGTGCAGCTTGCACACTTTGTCCAGCACAAAGTGTGACAGGCTTTTCGGCTTTATGTTGCTGCAGTCGGGACAATTTGCGAAGATCTTCAAAGCCAGCAGCAGCGGCTCTTTGTGGTCCTTAAGAGCATTGCCGAGATCCCGGCCCAGGTGGGGCGACTTGTTATTGCTGTACATGTTCCATTTTTCGCGAAACACAGTGAAGAACTCCTGCGCTTCAGCGTCCAATGTGGCATCAAAGTTTGTTCCATTGATTCCAGCACCTGTTGTAATGTTCTCCAAGCGCTTTATTTTCAAGTTTGTCATGTAGTGCTCGAGTTCGTCCTCGTCGTCCTCGAAGCCGCCGGGAATAGCGTTGTACATTTTCTTAGCCATCTCTGCGGTGGGCCAGGAGTTTGGCCCAAGTTGCAAAATTCGCGAAATCTTTTGACTGCCACTCGCCGAGTCGCAGAGCAAAAAAAAAAAGACAAGCTGGCAACTCTGTGGCGACAACAGTGGATAGATATGCGCATATTTGGTCACTTTTTTTTTTTTTTTATTTCTGTTGATAGGATTTTAGTTCATACAAGCGAAACGTAAACGCAAAACGTTCTACGGCATTAGGCGAACATGTTGGCAGAGATTGTGGGACCTCATTTTGCTCTGCCCGCGGTGACGATTAGCTTGTATGAGCTGTCACATCTATATACACCATTCAGTATGTGATAGTGCTATAACTATTCGTACAACGATGGCATCACTGTTTTGCTTGTGCAGCAAATGGTATTTTTGAGCGGTGTGGCAGCACTAAATAGGCGGCACACGTGCATTTTGTTTTAGTTTTGCTATACAAAAAAATGAAGGTGGCAAAGAAAGTGAAATCCCTGGGCAAACCCAAGGCTGGCATCAGTAAAAAACAGCCCAAAAAGGAGGCCAAAACAAAGACTGTTGTGAACAAAACAGAAAAACCTAATGATGGGATGGAGATTGCCAAGAAACCCAAACAGAAGCCGGTGGTGGCCACCAAAAATGTGAAGCCCCCAAAGAAGGGGTCGAAGAAATCACACAAAGAGGATCTAGAGGGTCTCAAGCAGATAGATCCAGAGTTCTACGAGTTTCTCAAGACAAATGACAAGAAGCTGCTGGATTTCAATTTAATGGACAGCGATGATGATGACGAGGACGAAGATGAGAAAGAGACGGGGGCGCAGAAAGACGCCGATAGCGACAGTGGTGATGACGAGGAAAACGAGGAGAAGTACCACAAGCCCAGTGACGATTTGGCTGTGGCCAGCGATGAGAGTGACTTTGAGGAGGATGGCGAGGGCGAGGATGAAGCCGCTGCTGCCGGAGGTACTCAAAAGGTCACCCTAAACCTATTGCGGCAGTGGGAGCAGCAGCTGGGCCAGGCCAATGTATCCATTGACATTGTGCGCAAAGTGATCCAGGCCTTTAACTCGGCCCTGGCCAGCATCTCCGCTGATGGCGCGGACGGTGGTGAGAACCAGCCAAATGCTGCCGCCTTTAAAGTCGTAGGAGCAGCCTCCTTCAATGGCGTTATCCAGCTGTGCGTGCTGCACCTGCAGCCGGCCATTATCCGTGTGCTGGGCGTGAGGCCCAACAGCAGCCTGCCGCTGCACAAGCACAAAAAGTGGGTCAAGGTCCGCGGCTGTCTGCGCTACTACCTCACTGATCTGATACGTCTCGTGGAGCAGGTATCGAGCGCGAATATACTGAGCGTGCTGCTCAAGCACCTGCATCAGATGGCTGGCATGGTTGCTCCCTTCACAACACTGGGCAAGACCATACTGAAGCGTTTGATTGTACTCTGGGCGACGGGCGATGAAACTGTTCGCGTGCTAGCCTTTCTCTGCATCCTAAAGATAACAAGGAACCAACAGGTGCGTACAGATAGAGTTCTTCCTTGACTGAAATATCAATCTTTCGCTTCCTCTTTCGTTCAGGGCACAATGCTGAATCATGTCCTGAAGGCCATGTACCTGGCCTATGTGCGCAACTCCAAGTTTGTCTCCCCCAATACACTGCCGGGCATTAACTTTATGCGCCGCTCGCTGGTAGAGATGTTTGCCTTGGACTTGAACGTGAGCTATCAGCATGCGTTCTTGTACATCCGCCAGCTGGCCATTCACCTGCGAAATGCGGTGATCCTGAAGAAGAAGGACAGCTTCCAGGCCGTCTACAACTGGCAGTTTATAAACTCGCTTCGACTATGGGCGGATCTGCTGGGAGCCAGCACCAACAAGCCGCAACTGCAGCCTCTGGTCTATCCATTGGTCACCATTGCCACGGGCGTAATCCGCTTAATACCTACGGCTCAGTACTTCCCGTTGCGCTTCCACTGCCTGCAAACGCTGATTTCGCTTTCCAAGGAGACGCAGACTTATGTGCCGGTTCTGCCGTTGATTGTGGAGGTGCTGCGGAGCAATACCTTCAATCGCAAACACTCGGCTGTGTCCATGAAGCCGCTGCAGTTCACCTGTGTCCTTCGGCTGAACAAGGGTCAGCTGGCGGAGAACGGTTTTCGCGATGAAGTCATCGAGCAGGTGTGTGCCTTGTTGCTGGAATATCTCGCTCACGAGTCAGCCTCGCTGGCCTTCAGTGACTTGGTTGTGCCTGCTGTGATGGCCATAAAGGCCTATCTCAAGGAGTGTCGCAATTCCAATTATACGCGAAAGCTGAAGCAGTTGCTGGACAAGATCCAGGAGAGCAGCAAGTTCATTGAGCAGCAGCGCAGCAAGAGCACCGTCACCTTTGACCTGAAGGACGCTCAGGCGGTGGCTGCTTGGGAGCAACAGGTACGAACCAAGCGCACACCTCTGGACATCTATTATGCCAGCTGGCTGAAGACACACGAGACAAAGAAACGACGACAGGCGGCCCAAACGGACGACATCAATTCGGACTATGCTGTACCGAAGCTGAAGCGTCCGGCGGCCAAGACGGGAGTGCCCGTGCGCAACGAAAACGGCGAACTGGAGCTATTCCCCTCAGACTCAGAAGACGATGAGGATGGCCCGCGCATTCCCATGGACGACGATGATGATGACGAATCAGAATTGGAGCAGCCCAAGCCGAAGAAGGTTAAGGTGGCCAAGTCGGAGAAGAAGACGACCGAAAAGGTTGCCATTCCAGAGCCAACGGAGGCAGAGGCAGCTGTCGATGATTATGACGAGTCCGGTGCGGCTGTGGACATAGTTAAGGACTTGGATTTGGATGATTGGTAGAACATTAAGCTACATAATTAATATATTTACACATTAAAAATTCATTTCAAATATGACTACTTCCTTTCTGGCGGATCTCGTCCTGGTATGAACTCGTAATCTTTGTATTTGGGAAACGTGCCAATGGTTGGGCCCTCCACCTGCTTGGGCATGGCTTTTTCATCCTTGGCCTTTGCATAGGTGGCCTCCAGTTCGGCCGCGTTTCGCTTTTTCATGTCCATTATTTGGAGATTTTTCACCAGCTCCTCCCGGGTAGGTGGCTCCTCACGACGTCCGCGCAGCCAGGCCTCCCATTCGGCGGTTAGCTCCTGATCGAATGCATCCTTGTCAGCCGGCTCGAACCAACGCGAGGATTTGCGTTTGCCAATCGCCGGATTTGCCGGGATCTCAAAATATTTGTTGCCAAAATAGTCTTCGCCAATGTAGTTGCCGCGGAATTGTCGGGGTCGCAATGACTTCCAAAAATTTTTGAAAATAATGCCAAAAATATCTCTCGTTGGCTTTTGGGCCATGCTTTGCGATTTGTTTGGTCTTTATTCAAATGTGAAGTAAAATTAAATTGAGATTGGGGTGAATTGAATGAATTTAGAGGCTAGGTATGACTTTTGTTATGACATTAACAGCTGATGGGCTGAACAGTGCTGCAAAGTGCCTGAGGTAGAGCGGTATGTATTCAAATGCGAAAATAGTGCTTCAGTGGCAGCGAAAACGGACTAAACCAATCTCGATGGAAAACAGCTAACAAATCTGTGCGAAGACTGTTGTTATTGTAGTCCATGTCGCGCAAGATTAGTCCAACGCCAGCCGAGTAAATGAATTGCTCGCCCGACCAGCTGGCGCTGCCAATATAGGCGATCTCCTCAGTAATCATGTAGGAATTATGATTGACGCGCCCGTGGGGTATCTTCTCGTGTTCCTCTGTGGTTGGCACCACAAAGCGGCGCTGCAATGGGAAACATAGTTAGAAGGATTAGTTAATGCTCATATCATTGTTATAGTGCACCCACAATTTCTATGTCCACATCATCCCTAAGCTGGGAAAGGGCTTGCAGCGAGCGCAGAAAGTGATCTTCGCTTGGATCGGAATACTTCCACCAGGAAATGAGCAGTTTGATGGCAACTCCTCTCTCCACGGCCGCCTTGCGAAGAGCATTATCTATATGCGGCCAATATTCCAGCTTGTCTTGGTGCCTCAATAGCGGATAATAATCTACCAAAGCAATGCAAACGAGCTCTTCGGATTTTTCGATGGCATTCAGTACGGCATCCAGTTCATTGGCACGCCCCGTGGCTGCTAGCGAAGGCGGTGAGATGGAGACATATGCGTGCATCGTATAATTCATATTCACATTCAGCAGAAGTGGTCGCCGCTGATTGATGTGCGTGTGATAGTTCCAGGGCCAGTAGCTGGGGACATCGTTGCTGCCCAAGTACCAATACGCTTTGAATATCTTGGCCAAATCACGCGTCAGATGGGGACAGTTTTGGCCCAGGACTCCCATTTCCTTTCGCTGGCTGAGCGAACGCCAATCCATGTTGGCGCTGCCCAGATAGAAATGCTGTCCATCCACAATCCAGAAATTCACGCGCAGCCGCTCCACTGCCACCACATCGGCAGCACCGTAGTTGGCAAAGATCCTGGCGTCCGCATGCCAGACACTCTCCTGGCTGCGATTTAGGGCAATTCGGATACGCAGCTTCGGCCTGCCAGCGTCGCCATTGGACAGCAGGCGCTGAAAGAGCTGCTCCCCATGCTGAGTGCTGCTGCTGTCATTGACACCGACGCCTCGCAGTGTCCAGTAGGGTGCGGCAATGTCCAAATTAGCCTTTGCCCTGCCAAGCAGCAGCTGCCAAGCCTTAAAGGTGCTCAAGAACTGTGGACTACCCTCGGTGTAGTTGAGTCCAATGGGTATGGACTCCACCAGTTGGAGTTGGCATGGAAACGCGGCCTCAACTGCCCCGGGGGTGTTTGCGTGTGCTCCCTCGTTGCCGTGGAACGTCTCCCAAGGCAACAGCAGCACTATCAGCACAAGCACGAACAGTATGAAAATGGGTATAATGTACCCGTGACCACAGCAGCACACTTTTCGCTCATCTCTCGCTGCAATGTTGCAGTTGGGTCGCCTGCAGCAGGAGGTGCTTGCAATGTGATCTACTTGTGTAGCCACTGGCTGGTAGTCTACGGGTATTTCCTGCACCCCTCGACGCTCTGACATGGCGCTCGACCCTGGCTGACTCTGACTGCGCTTCACCAAACATTTTTCCCGTGTTTTACTTATTTATTATTCGCACAGTTGCTACAAATGTGTTTGCCCGCCTACGCAAACAAACCCTGTAGTGTTGGGTAGCGCAGGCCAGCGCTTATCGGCGCACGCCCTCGCACACTGGCATAAACCCACGGCAGCAGCGCCCCAAGCAGCGATTCTGTTCTCTGTGTGTTAAAATCTTCCGGCTGAGAGGGCTGAAAATTTTGATATACGGCTGGGCCTGAACTTGAATTTTTGTGCTGTAATCAAATTCCGACGTGTGCTCTGCGTACTTGCATATTAACCAAATAAACGCGAAATAATGGCTGCGAGACTAATGAGTGCCCAGGCACAGGTACGTTGATTGCGCCGCGGTTGTCTTCTGCCTGCCCAGCCTCTCGTGTGCGATTTCCAATAAAAATCAAAATTTACGTGCACACCAATAAAATCTGATAAAGACTGGAGGAACAGTGCAAAATTCGTAAACGCGAAAAATCATGCGTATTCATATACAGGACACAATAGGGGGAAAGTGGCCAATATTTTTGTACAGCTCTTTTCTAACCTAAAAACGGAATCAAAAGTTGTTACCTAACACCGAAGAGTACATTGTGATTGTGATTCCATCCCTCCTCCCTTGCTTACATTCCCTTCTGACCGACAACACCAAACGCATCTTGATTGGAAAAGACTAGACCCTGGGACGGCATCAGTGGGGGGCCGGTGCATTTCAATTAAAATCTTTTTGGATATATTATAATTTGCATTTACATAACAGCTGCGCTGCCCTCGTTATTTAACCAGGAGATTCCCAGCATATATCTTGCGTCCGGCCGTATTTCGTCTTATCTGTGACAGGTTTACTTACATTCAAGATAGTGCAACTAAATATAGCTACAATTAAATGTGTCTTAAGAATTCTATCACGCGCTAGTCCATGGAGTACATTCCACACCCATTAAAGGGCTTTTGCAAAGGCTTCACTGTACTTTTACTTGCCAACAAGTGAATGACCCTATTTTTCGACGTAATTGCCAAGTCAATTTTGTTTGGCTTTGTTTCGTTTCTAGAATGTTGCAGCAATGTAGAGATTAATCGGGTGATATTAGCCTTTTTATATATTTAAATGATTTATCATTCGTTTATCTGATAAATATATAATTGTATTTAATGCAGAACTATTTCTATAAAGGTGTGCAGTGCATTATTCGTTTATATGTAGATTAATTATACGTATAAATATATATTGGGACAGTTCATTGATCTGGATAATTTTTCACAATACCACATGCAATCCCGTGACTCTTATGCAAATGTATATAAATACATACGCACATACATACATATGTATGTATATATACATTCGTATACATCTGGAATATACTGTCAGCTGTCCACACCACGATCAGTAAACAAGTCTAAATACGCGTCCACATTTTAGATTTTAAGATTTTGCAAGCAGTGTTTGACAATTTCCTAAATATAATTAATAATATCTGTCAACATGGCAATAGCAACCAAGATTCAGAGATTTTAGTTCTAGAACCAATTTTTAACAAGCCTTCACCTTAATTTCAACAAAATCCTTAAACTATAACGCTGGGCCGTCCTCATACCGTTATCTAGCATAGACATATGCATGTAGTTTGTATATATGTACATATACATTTGTATGTATAATGTATATGTCTAATAACAGCTCCTAATTACGATTTGCACATTTCGTTGATTACGCTGCTTCAATCAAATTAATGTTGAGAGGGCCCGTGACATGTTAATCAAGTGTTTATTACGCTCTAAACGATTCAATAAAAAAAGAAACGAGTACAGTGTGCACCCTATTTGATATTTTGGTAATAATCCACTAAATAGATAGATCAGTTGTATAGAGGCCGTACTGTCCCTTCCCAGACTATTGACTTTGAAGATTCAAATGTGCTAATTAAAAGATCTTGATCTGGTCTTTCAGGTGTGCAGACTGGGCAAAAATGTTGTCAGCGAGGCAGCCATGGTGCGCCAGTTCCATGCCTCCTGCTACTCGGCCTCGAAGGTGGCTCTGTCCAAGTTCGACTCGGACGTCTTTCTGCCCTACGAGAAGCTGAACAAGCGTCTGGATGTGGTGCGCAGTCGCCTCAACCGCCCGCTGACGCTGTCAGAGAAGGTGCTGTACTCGCATTTGGATGATCCCGCCAATCAGGATATTGAGCGTGGCACTTCTTATCTGCGCCTGCGTCCTGATCGCGTGGCCATGCAGGATGCCACCGCCCAGATGGCTCTTCTGCAGTTCATCTCGTCCGGCCTGAAGCGTGTGGCCGTGCCCTCGACCGTGCATTGCGATCACTTGATCGAGGCGCAGATCGGTGGCGTTAAGGATTTGGCACGTGCCAAGGATCTGAATCGCGAGGTTTACGATTTCCTGGCCTCCACCTGCGCCAAGTATGGCCTGGGCTTCTGGAAGCCAGGCAGCGGCATCATCCATCAGATCATTCTGGAGAATTATGCCTTCCCCGGCCTGCTGATGATCGGCACTGACTCCCACACCCCCAATGGCGGTGGTCTAGGTGGCCTCTGCATTGGTGTGGGCGGTGCGGATGCCGTCGATGTGATGGCCGACATTCCTTGGGAGCTCAAGTGCCCCAAGGTGATTGGTGTTAATCTCACGGGCAAGATCAGTGGCTGGACCTCCCCCAAGGATGTGATCTTGAAGGTGGCCGACATTCTGACCGTCAAGGGCGGCACTGGCGCCATCATTGAGTACCACGGCAAGGGCGTTGACTCCATCTCCTGCACGGGCATGGCCACCATTTGCAACATGGGTGCTGAGATCGGTGCCACCACCTCGCTCTTCCCCTTCAACAACCGCATGGCCGATTATCTGAAGAGCACCGGACGCGGAGGCATTGCCGCCGAGGCCCAGAAGTTCCAGTCGAAAATCCTGTCCGCTGACAAGAACTGCGAATACGATGAGCTGATTGAAATCAATCTGGACACTCTGGAGCCTCATGTTAATGGTCCATTCACCCCCGATCTGGGACATCCCATCAGCAAGCTGGCGGACAACTCCAAGAAGAACGGTTACCCCATGGACATTCGTGTTGGTCTGATTGGCTCCTGCACGAACTCCTCGTACGAGGATATGGGCCGTTGTGCCAGCATTGCCAAGGATGCCATGGCACATGGAATCAAGTCGAAGATACCTTTCAATGTGACCCCCGGATCAGAGCAAATCCGTGCCACCATTGAGCGTGATGGTATCTCGGAGGTGTTTGACAAGTTCGGCGGCACTGTGCTGGCCAACGCCTGCGGGCCATGCATTGGCCAGTGGGATCGTCAGGATGTGAAGAAGGGTGACAAGAACACCATTGTGACATCGTACAATCGTAACTTTACCGGACGTAACGATGCCAATCCGGCCACCCATTGCTTTGTGACCAGTCCCGAGTTGGTCACCGCCCTCTCGATTGCCGGCCGTCTGGACTTTAACCCATTGACGGATGAGCTAACCGGCTCTGATGGCAAGAAGTTCAAGCTGAAGGCCCCGTTCGGCGATGAGCTGCCCGCCAAGGGCTTCGATCCCGGTCAGGATACCTACACCGCTCCCCCAACAGTGAGTATCCATGAGATTTATGTTTTCTTATCAATTCTATCCTTTGTTTTCTTCGACAGTCTGGCGACAAGGTGTCGGTGGCTGTGGATCCCAAGTCTTCGCGCCTGCAGCTGCTGGAGCCCTTTGATAAGTGGAACGGCAAGGATCTGACCGATTTGACTGTACTGATCAAGGTCAAGGGAAAGTGCACCACTGATCACATCTCGGCGGCTGGTCCCTGGCTTAAGTATCGCGGCCATTTGGACAACATCTCCAACAACATGTTCATTGGCGCCACCAATTCAGAGAATAACGAGATGAACAACATTAAGAACCAGCGCAATGGCTCCTGGGGCGGTGTTCCCGATGTGGCCCGCGACTACAAGGCCAACAATGTCAAGTGGGTGGCCGTCGGTGATGAGAACTACGGCGAGGGTTCGTCCCGCGAGCATGCCGCTCTGGAGCCACGTCATCTGGGCGGCCGTGCCATCATTGTCAAGTCGTTTGCCCGTATCCACGAGACCAACCTGAAGAAGCAGGGTCTCCTGCCCCTCACCTTTGCCAATCCCGCTGATTACGATAAGGTAAGGCCGGCACACCATTTGATGTGACCAAAATAATTGAGAGTTTTGTCTTTAAACAGATCCAACCCACGAGCAAGATTTCGCTGCTCAATTTGAAGGGTTTGGCACCTGGCAAGCCCGTCGAGTGCGAGGTCAAGAACGGCGACAAGGTCGAAAAGATCAAGCTAAATCACACATTGAATGACCTGCAGATTGGATGGTTCAAGGCTGGCAGCGCTCTTAACCGCATGAAGGAGCTGGCCGCCCAATAAATTGGCGCAGCTTGAACTTACTTAAGATCCCCCCAGACCCCGTATCCGAAACGATTCTATATACCCGCTCCTATGAGAGCCCAGATCACACTCAGACCGACACACAACGCAAGCAATCAAGTTTATGGTATTGTTATTCAAAATGTTTTTACAAATTGTTTATAGATTTTTTTGTGCTGTTTTTTGAAAAAGTGAATGATGGAATATGTTTTCAAGCACGTACCGAGCGAGAATTAGAGAGAGTTTTATATACATGCATACATACTTATAATTATACAAACATCTATTATTATTATTATTATTTTGTAGTTCTTGCTTTGTAATGTGTCCTTCGATATCGATTTTGATTATGTTTTGCGAACTTGTCTGAGCAGATCTGTAGATTGCAATGACTATGAAAACGATGAAGTGCGAATAAAACTTAAAGTAAATACACGTATTCAAGTGAATCTTTTATTTGAAACCCGATAACGGACAATAAAATCCAACCCAAAGAGCATGTCCCCCGCTATATCCGAGTTCTACCAACCAACCTTTGTTTTCACAGCACTAAACTAATTGTATCAATTATAAGACATAAGAGAGTACCAGACAGTTGATATTAAATAAATAAATACATGAAACATTCAAGTGTAGTATCAAGTTCGGACAGATTTTTAATGCTTCGAGTTTCTCTGGAGTTGCCCTGTGGGATTTCAATTGAATTTAATTTACAACCACAGAAAAGAATAAACAAATAAGAAAAAATGAAGGGTCTTGAAAGGTATCGGATTACCATCCAAACGGCCAAGATAAAGAATTTAATAGATTATGAATAAATATGAATTTTGTATGACCTTTTAACTTTCAAATTGTTCGATCTTATTCGAACATAATGTCAAAATATGTGTTAGATTTTATTTAGTTTTTTATGTTTTTTTTTTAACAATATTCAAAATTCTCAACCGGAAAAATGAATTGCAAGCGACATGGTGGTGCAGCAAGGAGTCTCACACTTATACCCCCTAAGCCATCCGTTTCAACGATAAGTGGAGAATCTCCAGAGATATCGCGTCGAATGAAGAAATATCTCAAATTGATTGATCTGTACAAAGGCCACGACTGCTTGTGGCATCAATGTAATAGCGAATTTTTCGATAAACCTGTGAAGGAGAAAGTCTGGAAGGAGATTGCCAGAAAGATGAAGAAAAAGTCAGATACTAATCGCTGGAAATTCCTGATTAACAAACTTCGCTATAAAGTCGAACTGGAGCGCCTACATCAGCAAGAGGCCAAGTTCCAGCCGGATATAGAGCTGCCGCCTAAACTGGAATATTCGGATAAATTTCAATTCTTAAATCATATGTTTGATAGAAAGTGGGGTAAATCTCCTGTAACCACAGAGACTGTAAGTAGCAAGAGTTTCTACACTGCAATTCGTTTAGTCCGAATACCCTTTCCATAGTCCATTCCACATAGACCTGCTTGCTTTTTGATGTTGAATTCCGCTAGAAAGGATTGCAGCAAAGTGACATCGTATGCCAGCAAGCTAAAGGCGCTGGGAAACATAAGGAACAACAAGTGCAGCAGGCTAAGTCTCTCGCACGAGGCCTTTCGCAAGATGATGGTGGCCACCAGTGGCTCCCTGTCAGATTTCGGCAATGAGGAAAAATAAGAATAGAATTGCAACATAACCATGAAATAGTTGGAACGAAAAAACACCTTTTAAAGAAAACATAATTGCCAGCCTACCCATAAGGCCAAGCCAGGGAATGGAGAAGAGATATGTCGATAGCTTCATCGAGCGTTGAAGTATATCTCTGGCGGAAAAAGGAAGATGTGGAATGGGCTGGAAGATGTTATTGGGAGGGAAAACATTATTAATATGAAAATGTAAATTATTTAAATTTAAACTGACAATCAAAAAGTATATATTTTGAAGATTTCCAAGAGTATTAGAGACGTCCTCTCGTACATTGCTGGCAGAGCGTCGAAATAATAGTACAAACGCTTGTAAAAGGCAAGAGCGGGGAAGAAAGTCAGCTTGGGGAAAGGATAAATTCCAGCCTTCTAAAAGCACCAGTTGTGACAAGCTATGATTATATGCATTCCAGCTTGTAAATTGCTTTTTCGTTTTATTACATTTTTCTCTTGAATCATCGTAATCTGGTTTTTGTTTTTGTTTTGTTTCTTGTATTTTTGCCATTCTTTAAATATAGACGTTTTTTTTATAACAATTCATAATTTTACCTTACAATATAATATTTCTTGATTTTTATATATTCTTACAATTTGTATTTCTTTTACTGTTTTGCAAACACATGCCTTTCTTTTGCCACGGGAAACACAATTTCCTCTTACAACTTTTCAGAACTGGGACATCTTTTTGTATTTATTTAATATCTGTACGAAGATATATATATCATATAATTCTTTATGTATATAACTAAAAATGCGTAAATGAATTGTTTTGTTTTACGTGGTTTTTGCTTGAAGGGAAGGGGGTAAGGGTAATTCCTTTTCATAAAAGGAAGAAAACATGCAAATGTACATAATCAGTATTTTTTAGGGGGTGGGGTTGGGGGGTTTTGCCGTTCCTATGTTGCTTAATTTCCGCATTAATTACAAACATTTATCGATATTAAGAACCTGATGTGTTGATGTTTCAAAGCGGGCCACTATCTATAGTTGTATTTACGCTTCAGTTACTCCGCTCGTTTCACGTGTTTTTCTCTCTTAAAGGCGGCTCTTCATAGGGGGAGGATCAGGTTCAAGATCGGTATCGGGATCAGCTATCAAGCGTCGCTTTGCATCGGGCGGCAAGACTGAATCGTTCGAATGATCCTTCGCTTTTGTCGTACTCTGAAGCTCCCGCATCGTACGGCTGCTGCTATTGCTGCTGTTCGGTTTTATTGTTTCCTCTATTTCTATGAAATGGCTGTTGAAAGATTTGGTTTGAGCGCATCATTCCCACTCAGTGGTACCCGGCGGCTTGGCGGTCAAGTCATAGAGTACCCGCGAGATTCCATCCAGCTTGGTTATGTCGCGCACTATTTGATTAAGGACCTGTCCAGCAGCGAGTAAAGAGTTTAGAGATCAATCCCGCAATTTAGTTTAACAATTTCAACACTTACTTGTAAAGGCAGTCGCACTGATCCAGGAACAGCTGGCACTCCAGTCATAAAATCGCTGGTTATGAATGGACGCAGCACCACCGATCTTCTGCAGGAGGGCGTCCTATTGATGGGATCCCGATCAAAGTGCACGGGTATCAGAACGACAGGCATCTGTGAGATTTTCCTGTACAATCCAGCTTGCATGATAATCTACAAATAAGTCAAAGAATACCAACAATTATTTGGACACCGACTATATGGATTAAAGATTCTTTTACCTCATTTGCAATGGCATCAGCTTGCCGGAGTTGCGACAACACCACCGTATTGAGGGTTGTGTGCGTTATGTCTGTGACCAAATATTGGACGGGCTCGCCAAAGATATAGCATACCCTGTTGACATTATGCAAAATGCGGGGTATGATCTTGGCCAGAAAGAGAAGGTCCATCCAATTGGGCTCCTGACTCGTGGACAGGCCCACCACATAGCTGTAGCTACGCTTGTCGCCTTGCACACCCACCGAACGGATGGGCAGCAGTGTGGCCTGAATCGTGGAGTTGGCAGAGATGCGCAGCAGCTCCTTTTGTTCGACCTCACTGGTGGCACCCGTCACTCGATTGATGAGCGCATGATTCTTCTGCAGTTTGTTCTTGTAGTCCACAATCACACGCACAATAACCTATAAAGAAATTGCCTTACATATTCTGTCTATTGTATGATTTCGCAGCCTAGTACTTGCCTGAGTCTCTGAATAGTCCTTTTCCATATAGGCCTCCTCGGCGCACAGTATACGGATAGCCAGACCGGGTCCTGGGAAGGGTTGTCGCTCGACTAGCTCTGCTGGTAGACCCAGATCATTGCCCAGATCTCGTACCTCATCCTTGTGAAAGTCACACAATGGCTCCACAACGCGTCCCGCATTGCGCAGTTCTCTGCGAAAAAAGAAAACTCTCCCATTAGGCACGCCTTAAAGATCAGATTTGGGGATTTCTAACCTAATCAGATCTGTGTCATTGTGATGAGTTTTGATTGTTTCGGCATTCGTGCTGACCATATTTGATGCAGATTCAATTAGATCTGGCCTAAGGGTGCCCTGGGCGAGCATAACTTCTTCGGGTTTGAGTTTCAGAAAGGCCACCACCTCGTTGGTTACTTTTACGAATATATCACCAATTATCTTGCGCTTCTCCTCGGGGTTGTAGGTCTGACAGAGCATGGGCGTCTCAACGACTGAGTACTGGCCGGGTCGCTTCACTTGCGTGGTACCCTTGAGGAACGTATAGATTTCCTTTCGGACAATCAAATCGATACCAATATCGCGCAATGAATGCTCCACCTTTTCACTTTCGTTTTTGCGCATGAAACCTGAAAGATTATACATTTACAATTGAATTGGTCTTTTTAATGAATGATTTTGCATACCATTATCTACATGCACGGCAATGATCTGATGAGGATAAAGGGCACGTCGCAACAGGGCTGCACAAACACTTGAATCCACACCGCCACTGACCAAGAGCTGCAAATAGCAAAGGTTTCTCAATGTAGGGATTATACAAATTATTCCTTAAGGTATGTGTACACTACCAAAACTTTATTACTGCCAACTTTCTCTCGAATGTAGCGTATGCACTCCTCCTTTCTGCTGCCCATTGTGAAGTTTGGTCTCAGTTCGCAGATTTCATAGAGGAAATTTGATAGCATCTGTTTGCCATTGATAGTTAGGTCCACCTCTGGATGAAACTGAACGCCATAGATGCGCAACACCTCGCTGTAGATGGCCGTGATAATGCGATTCGTTGACCAACCGCCCACTCTAAGCTTCTCCCCAACTCGCTCTACGCTGTCCCCGTGGGTGAGCAGTACGGATTGTGTGCGACTGAGGCGGCTGTAAGTAAAAGGATTTCCAGATTAATGAAATTAAAAAAAAAAACGACATGTAAATGCTAGCTATTGTTAGGCCACGTGTAGATCAGTTTATAGACTGCTCTAAACTCAACTGTTCTTGGCATTAAAGATTACTCTGGCAGCATTGTATCAGCACTCAAATAAGCTTCATCAATTTGAACACTTTCTTTTTGCTGCCATGGGATTTTCCTCTTGGCCTTTCGCTTACCTGAACAACGGGCACGCGGTTTCAATCTCTATGTTCTGTTGGCCATCTTCTCGGATGTCCGTCTTAAGAACGGTGCCGCCAAACTCTTTGTTGATTAGCTGCATGCCATAGCAAATGCCAAGCATGGGAATTTTCAACTTAAACAGATCCGGATCGTACGTGGGCGCATCCTCGGCATACACAGAATTCGGGCCGCCGGAAATGATGATGCCCCGATAGCCATTATTCCGTATCGTGGCCGCTGGTGTATCTAGGGGTAATATATCCGATTCAACAAGCAGTTCCCGTACCTTGCGATCTATAACCTGTAAAGCAAAAAGCAAGATTATATTGAGACTATGGATAACAAAGGAATGCCTTACCTTGCCGTACTGTGCTCCCGCATCCAGTATAACAATCTTATCATGCCGCAGGCCATTCTCCGCTGTGCCATGAAATATGCTTGAATTCATTTCTTTATCGTTGCAGCACTGCAAATATGGTATAGAGGATGTGGAGAAGTGTTCGCTGTGAATATCAGATCTCGACTAGCATTGGATTAGCATTGCTCTGGGCTCTTTATATGCACCAGATCTGAGGCTGTAATCGAAGCAGAGACTACAAGGTTGCAAGCGAGGAATAGGAGATAGGGGCTAGGGTTTAGAAGAGACGCGCTCACATACCGGTAATAGCTTGTGGAGCACTCGTAGAAACATTCAACATGCAGAAAGCCAGGGCAGACGCGACGTAGTGCATCCAACAGATAGAGAGAGAGAGACAGAGAGGGAGACACGACACTGACACGACACAATTCTACGATAGACAACAAACATTTCCATTCATTTTCCACCATCAGAGGCAAAGGGCCAAGCACAGTTTATGGAAAAGTGAAAAGTGCTCAGATATGAATGAGGTAGCGAGTGGGCGGGTGCAGCAGTGCAGTGCGGAGTGCTGGGTGTGGAGTGGAAACTCCTAGGCAGAAAACAAACAAAGCAAGAGGCGTCGGTCGGTCGTCCACTAAATGATTTTTCACTCGTCCAGCAGCTGGTGATGGGGCAGTGGCAGTGGCGGTTGTGGATGACATGGCAAACTGATTTTATATATACATGTTTTCCTATATTTCAAATAAAAACTTATACACTGGCCCCCACAGGAGGCGGAGAAGGATGCGAGGAGGGAGGTGGGACGCCTGCTGACCGCGACAGATGACATGCAGAACGCAAAAATGCCGAAAGAGCGTACTAGAGGAGAGCAAGAGCAAAAGTGAGTGAGAGTGAGCGAGCACAAGAGAGCGACAGAGAGGAAACTGGGTTGACAGGGGCGAGGTAGAACGAAAAACAAGGAGTGGGGGAACATGCCGATGAATGGCAATACCAAAAAGGAAAATGCGCAGGGAAAATGTTGGCGAAAAATGTGAAAACAAAAGCAAAAACTGCAATCATCGCCAATCGAAAATCTTTTGCCTTTCTTTCTCTTTGCTCTGGCAACTCTGCATCTGTAGCCTCACCTCCCTCCTCCTTTCCAAGCACTACTCCTTGGGACCAAAGGTGGTGCAGCATTAGGTCACTTGGTTGCGGCTGAGGCTGCTGCCGCTGCTGCTGCTACTGCTGTGATGTAAGCCGAGTGCTGCTGTTCTTCTCCAGAGCCAGAGCATTGGCTCGCTGGAATATGTACATTTGATAAGGCCAACATGCAAAAGGTTATCAAGCAGCTGCAACAACAACAACCTCGTGGCTGAAATGTAACTTAATATAAGCACAGGCCCTCACTCACACACATGCTAACGCGCAGGCACACACAAACACACGTGAGGTAGGGAGACACACGGTAGTTGGGTAGGTAGGTCCGCCAGCGCCTGAAGCGGCGCTTATAACCACAAAATGGCCACGATAGAGATGTTTGCAAATAAATCAGCTAGAAAATGGGCAATGCAATGGCTTGGCTGCTTGGTAATGTTAAAGCAGTGATTGCACATGTACTTGAGGGAGGGAGGTGTGGTGTGTGAAGCAGGGCAAGGGGCGTCGTGTAGGTGGTGGGGCCAATAGCAAATGCTGCGCCGCATGGCAATAATTGTAGGTGCGCTCGGAGGAGTGTGACAAAAGCGATTGGTTTGATAGGGCAGGGCAAGGATCCTTACCAGCTCAATGTTGTCGTCGCAGGAAGTCACTGATGATCGGGGGGTGGGGGAAATTAATGGAAAACTTTATTCTTAAACACTACGTGAGAGATCCGTTGTTAGCGGTCCCCTGTTTTTTTCATGCACTCTTCTTGAACTTGTTTGCTCCTCAGCTATTATGCACAGTGTTCGCGCCGCAAATGTCCTTTATTACGATTCTCACAGGCTGGGGCCCTTTGACGGCAACGATTTGGGCGTTCGATTTGGCCGCTTTTTCTTGTGCTTTTGCAATTTTTTCGTGAATTAAAGCCGAAAGATGACGAGTAGTATGACCGGATCGCGAGTGCTGAAATATACCTGAATTTTTGCAAATTTGCATACCAGGTGTCTTGTTGTATCCTCTTAATTTAGACTACAATACAAATAACTATGAATTTTGTGCGCTTCAATCTATGAAAACTAATTGAATACATTTTGAAAAATTGAGTTTTCCTTCAAATCTAGTATTACAACAACTGCATCTGCACCCTGACAGCTCGATTGGTGTTGTAAAATGTATGCAGCTGTACTGACGCGGCAATTTCTGGGTATTTTGGTGTGTGCGTGCCACAGCCATACTTAGCCCGCCAAAAGTGTTTTGTTTGCGCTCGTTTGGAAAATTTTATTAGAAACGTGAATAATTCGTGTGACAGAGCCAATCTAATGAGTCCAGCAAATGCATCAAATCCAGACATTAGCATCGATGAGGAAGACGAGATACTGGCACTGGAAAAACTGCTGGGCGAAGCAGAGAACGATAACGCAGAGTCAGCAGCAACTTCGGTGGTCGCCGCACCACGGCTGCGGGAAGACAGCAGTTTCGCCAATGCATTCAGCTTCGAGAAGGCCGTGAAGACCGCCCCAAAATCAACGACGGTTGACAAGGCAACGCCCAAAGAGCCGGAGCTCGATTCGTCCGATGACGAGGAAGTCAAGAACTTCTTGGAACGGAAATACAATGAATATGGCACAGACATCAACAAGACGCTCAAACAGCAACGGGAAAGCGCGCACGAGTCCAAGGTGGCGCGGGAGGTGGATCAAGACATCAAGACCACCAAGTTTATCAGCTCAACGCCACAGCCGATGAAGAACCCGCACAATCCCATCAAGCGGCAGGGCGCAGCGACCAGTTCATTTCAGAAGCCAGTGGCAGCGGCACAGGCGAATCCCATCGCGCCAAAGCAACCAGTTTCGGCGGTCTACACAGATCCTGTGTTCGGTTTACGGATGATCAATCCGCTGATCTCCAGCACATTGCTGCAGGAGCGTATGGGTGGGCGTAAGGCTGTGCCATTCTCGGGCGTGGCCTATCACATAGAACAGGGAGATCTGGCCAAGGATTGGGTGTTGGCTGGAGCCCTGGTCTCGAAGCAGCCTGTGAAAAACACGAAGAAAGGAGATCCGTACTCCACGTGGAAGCTGTCGGATCTGCGCGGCGAGGTTAAAACGGTTTCCATATTTCTCTTCAAGGAGGCCCACAAGACGCTGTGGAAAACAGCCGAAGGTATGTGTCTGGCTGTGCTAAATCCAACCATATTCGAGAAGCGTGCAGGCAGCAGCGATGTGGCCTGCCTCTCTATCGACTCTTCGCACAAGGTTATGATCCTCGGGCAATCCAAAGATCTTGGAACTTGTCGCGCAACCAAAAAGAACGGCGACAAGTGCACATCCATTGTCAACCTCACTGACTGCGATTATTGTGTGTTCCATGTGAAGGCTGAATATGGTAAGATGTCCAGGCGCTCGGAACTGCAATCGGCCACCGCGGGACGTGGTCTGAACGAGCTGCGCAACAAGGTTTTGGGTGAGTTCAATGGCATTTGCACCTCTTAGTCGTCCCCTAATCCCTTCTTTCATTGCCAGGCAAAACAGAGGTCTTCTATGGTGGTCAATCGTTTACGGCAGTTCCGGCCAAGAAAAGCTCAAAGCTGATTTCCAAGGAACGCGATCGTCTGAGCAAGCTGGCTGGCTACGATATTTCGCCCTTTGCCCACACAGTTAACCATGCCTCGAAGCCCCGAATCGACACACCACCCAGCGTGCCCTATGCAGAGCGAGGCGGTCCCGTATCCCGACTGGCTGGTGGTGTTGAGGCTTCCTCAAAGCAAAGGCTACAGGATCTCGAGCGATTGCGTTTGCTTAAAGCGGAAAACGATCGTTTCGAAAAGGAGTCCAAAGGCAATGTACTGGGAGGAGCCGACACTCCGGGCACACCCACATCTAAAGCCACCCCAACACCTGGAACACCCACATCTAAGCCAACACCAAAACCTGGGACACCAACTACACCCAGCAGCGTGCCGGAGAAATTCAAGAATCGCGGATTCTCCTTTGATGTCAGCCTGACGCCCAAACTGTCTGGCAGCGAGAATTTCAGCCTTGAAGTCAACATTGGGGCACGACAGGCAGCGAGTGCCAAGCTTAGAGCAGCTGCCCTGCTGAAAAAGAAGCCGTTGGAAAAGGTAAATCCGAACTCTATACGCGGCTCAGAGACGGGCAAGCGGCGAGCAATCGATGACCTCAACGAGAAGTTTTCCACTGGAGCAAAGAGGCAAAAGATCGAAGAGGATGAGCGCGAGCTGATGCGCAAGTCGCGCATTGAACGGATAATGGCAGCCACGTCGTCGCACACGAATCTGGTGGAGATGCGGGAACGCGAGGCCCAGGACGAGTACTTCAACAAGCTGGAGCGCAAGGAGGCCATGGAGGAGAAAATGTTGGGCACGTTCAAGATGCCCTGCAAAGCGGTCATTTGCCAGAAGTGCAAGTACACCGCCTTCTCGGCGGCCGATCGCTGCAAGCAGGAGGGACATCCGCTGAAGATAGTCGATGCCGAGAAACGATTCTTCCAGTGCAAGGACTGCGGCAATCGCACCACCACCGTCTTCAAGTTGCCAAAGCACAGCTGCAAGAACTGCAAGGGTTCACGCTGGGAACGAGCGGCCATGATACGCGAGAAGAAGGTCTGCACTGGCAGGGAGTCGCTCTCTGTGCGTGGCGACGAGGAGACCTTCCTGGGCAGCGTGGCCAGCAGCGCCAGTCTCAATCTGCTTGTGCCCGCAGAGGAATAATAAATATTCAACGATATATTTGTTGTATTTTAATGTTTTACATAAATGTTAGTGTAGATTCTTATTATTATTATTTAGATTATTTACAGTCCCTCTAGTTGCACAAATGAATGGCTTAAATGATGTGTAGATAAATAAGTACAAATGTTCCAATAATACCTAAATATTTATTGTGAGATTTGTTTTTAAGGGAGGTGTGGAAATATTTGGGCATTCTCTAGCAGTACCAGGCGTACCCGTAATTGTAAATTAATGCTATGGTTCAATGATGTGTAAATGACTTAAATAAATATAAATGTTTTTTAAATATTATGACTCGGCGGCTAAACCCCATTTATAAGCTGTGCTTAAGCTTTAATTTGAGAGCTCTTTTATAAAATATATTAAGAAATGTACACCCTAAAGCAGCAGTGGACTGGCGTTATACATTTGGGGGCCTTTAGTATTCTCTTTATGCATTCTCAGGCATTCTCTTTTGCACTTTTCGCTTGTGCAACGACGCCAACACCGCTGCTTCAAAGGAGAAACTTTTCTTCTCTTATGTTTGGAATAAACTTTCATTTCGAAGACACTTTTTGTATCACTCCCTTAAGCTCTTTAGCAGTTATACAATAGACGTGAAAAGTTTGTACAAAATGGATTAAAATATTACCTTACAACTAATCGAACGTATTTTTGGTTTGCAGCAAAAAGCGTAAAGATATTTGTAGACTTCATTGGCATAGTTCAGGCAGAGATTGAATGACAGTACAGAGGGTATTTAGTACCCTTAATTTCAGTAGAATTAAGACATCTTAGGCTGCTCCTTTAAATGAATTTTGGGAGTATTCGAAACTAATTCGATTTCTGTTCAATTCTTTTTTTTTTTGGCATGAGAATAAAGCTACGCGACTAAAAAAAGGAACTAAAACTATTTAACAAACAATTTGAACTGAAAGACAGGCGCAAACGGAGACAAGAAACATGTTTAAACCTGGGGGAATGGGAATGGGTATAAGATCACCTTTAGACAACATCCTCGGCCTGCTGTCCTGGGGAGGTGTACGGCTCCACGCCCTCTTTGAGATTTAGTAAGCTGGAGAAACGGAATGAAATCGTCTTGGAGAGATGCTTCTCAAAGTCTCGGTTGTCCAGATTGTCTGGTATCAGGCTATGGTTGGTCATGTCCAGATACGATCGTCCCCTCTTCACGGGCACCGCATAATGTGGCAGCGCTGTGGCCGGGGAACCACCGCTTGTCATGTTGCTGTAGCTCGGCGCACAGCTGGACTTGCGTATGTTGAGGGGAAAGCGTAGATCGTTCTCATACCGCAGCACCTGCTCCGTGGTGCTGGTATCGATCAGTGGACGCGGTAGATCATAGCCGGGTGGGGCCACAGCTGCCACTTGCATCTCCAGCACGGACTGATCGCGACTATTGGCCAGATCCTGGACATCGTAGGTTATCTTTGGCGGCGACCACAAATGTTGCAGGCAGTCTGGTTCCCCCGGACAGTCTTCCGGCATCAAAGCTGCCTCGTCGCCACAGTACATCGGATTGGACACGGCATTCGTTTCCATTTCTATATATTTGGCATTGTTGCCCAACAGTTTCTCAAATTCGGCTGCCAGGAACTTGAATGAGGGCCGTGCATTAGCCTCATCCGCCCAGCATGTGCGCAAAATGGAGTACACAGCCTCGGAGCAGTTATCCGGCCGTTCCATGCGATAGCCCGTCTTCAGCAGCGACCAGAGATTTTGTGGAGCAATGCCTGGATAGGGAGAGGCGCCCAGCGTGATCAGCTCCCAGCAGAGTACCCCAAAAGCCCACACATCCGATTTGGTGGTGTAAACATGATCTGCCAGAGACTCGGGTGCCATCCACTGGGGGTAGGATGTGTTCATGATTACATTACAGTACAATTAATGTTTGTTTGAAATCTTACCTTGACGGGCACACGATCTCGGGAACGCTTCAAATAGGCATCATCCTCGTATACATCTCGAGTCAGTCCGAAGTCCGAGATTTTACAGATTTTGCCATCGGCTAGAAGCACATTACGAGCCGCCAAATCGCGATGAACCAGCTAGAGGACACAGAAAAGGGATTAAGCAGGGAAGGATTGATGCGCTACGGATATGCCCGATGCTCAGTTTGTGCCCCATCAACTGTACGGACACTTGTACGGACAGACAGGCGGACAGACATACATTCACAGCTTGAGCATCGGGCATAAACATATTTACCTTGAGTTCTGTCAGATATGCCATTCCTTTGCAGATCTGCCAGGCAAAGGTGAGCACCATCTTGACATTGACTGGTTCCACGCCATCGCTGAAATCCACACCAGCGCACTCGATCTTCCGACTGAGTCGGAGATAGCTACGCAGCGAGCCATGACGGGCGTACTCAATAATCAGTAGCGGTGCCTCTGAGGACTGGGTGCAGGCGCCCAGTAGTTTGATGACATTGGGATGCGAGACCTCCTGCAGCAGTTGAAACTCCGAAAGCAGCGCCATGTACTCCACCGAATTGGCACCCTTCTTGAGCATCTTAACCGCCACTGTGGTGACGCCAGGCAGACCGGCAATCTCTGTGGCATATCCCTTGAGTACCTGCCCGAACTCACCCTCACCCAGGACGGTATCCAGTTCGAGTTGCCCGCGCGGAAACTCCCACTTGGTGTCGGCGCTCTCGAACTTAAAGCCGCTCTGCAGTGGCATCAGTGGCAGGTCGCCGTCTCCGGGCGACTCGGGCAGGCCCTGTTTGGACGATGGCGTCATCGATTGCTTGCCCAGGTGACGATGCAGCATCTTCCGCTGTGTGAGGAGCAGGCACAGCAGCAGAAGCACAAACAGCAACGGACAACTGATGACGATCAGCATGCAGGATCGATTGCATTCGAAGCCAGCCACATTGAGCACACCCAACAGCAGAGGATCCTGCAGGGCATCTCTATCCCTCTCCTGCAGTGGAGTAGCAGCCACCGTTGGCGCTGTCAGCTCTGTGTCTGTCTCGTTCTTGCGTTTACGCGGACGCTTCACCTTGGGCTCATCATCCAGCGGGGCACAGGAGCACTTGCCGTTGTCCTCGCAGATGCACGTACCCGAGCCACTCAGTATGCCCCGCCTGTTCTCATTGCTCGTGTGTGGCCCCACGATCTTGCCGGCTGGCGTGCAATCCTGCGGACAGGCATACGGATTGAGTTCCTCCAGCGGATCGCACACATGATCGGGACAGTAGCGTGCCTGAGGTACACAGGAGCCATAGTTGCGCCCAAACATCGCCGAGCTGGTGCCGCGCCACATGCACGCGCCCCCATTGGTGGCCAGGCCACAGAACTTGGTGCACTGCGATTGGTATTTGATCTGGGCACAGGTCTGCGAACGCGACTTGATCTTCAGCTCGCAGCTGGCAGTCTCCGGCCTGCCCTCCACCAGATGCACGTTGATCACAAAGGCATGCGAGAGACGCTCCTGGTCCTGCCATGTGACATTCACAAAGTAAATCGTCTCTGGCGCCTGCTCGAGCGCTGGCAAATGCTTCACATACACAATGCCCGACATGGGAGTGATGCCAAAGGCACCGCTGCGATCCTCGACAATGTCAAAGCGAATGGAGCGCACTCGCATCAGCTCCAGGAAGCTCTCCGGCTGCGCGACCCTGTAGAAGACAGCCGCCGATCGATACACAAACACGTCCTTCTCGTAGTCCACGCTCACAATGCCATGTGCTCGGCCGTATCCATCCGTGCGCAACGTGTCGCCGGCGCTCTCGAAGACGCGCTGCTGCCGGCTGCGCAATGGCAGTGCCTGCGGATGCTCCTGGTCGCTGTTGTGCAGCTGTTGAAGATCAACATGCAGACAGATGTGAGCGGAGGCCGACATGGCAACATTCTCCATTTTCATGGTCACATCTCGGGCCTCCAGCATGCAGCAGTAGGGCGTCTGTCGGAGGACGCCACTGCGCGAGAAACGAAGCTCTAAAAAGAGGAAATTCTATTATTCAAATGTCCAGATATAGAAATTCCCTTCAACTTACGACAACTGACAATGGTGTGCGGTCTACCCGTGTGATCCGCCTCGTAGGCATGACAATCCGGCCGTAGCAGATCGTTGGTGTCGTTGTGTATGCCATAGCCAAGATTCTGATTGGCCGCCAGCGTGTCCTTGTCCACGTAGATGATTTTCTCGCCCACCGCCTCGTTCTGTGTGAAGAACAGAACAGACTTCCATTAGCTCTCGCTTCATTAGCATTTACTGACCAACGCTAATTAAATTTCACTTGACAAATTGCAGCGTTCTGCAGCCCTCCAAGGATATGCTCTTGGTGATTATCCTGCATTTTAATTTGCGCCCAAGGTCAGGCAAGGGACCTCAGGGATCTGACATAGCTGCTGCGTGGAACATACCCATAAATGGCTCTCCAGAGGGTCTCGGGGCGTTAGCTAGGTGCTTGCCATATGAGTTAGGCCATTGGTTTATTAGGATAGGATGTTAGAATGGGAATTACATGTATTTGTTGAATATTAAGGTAGCTGGCTCATGGTTAGGTTGGGTGTGTCGGAAGACAAAGGGAGAAAGTATCAGCATGGAGCACAAAACGAGGTGGCACTGCCCTGCCCTTAAGCAATCCATCAACAACATCCAAGCAAATGCTTTGATGTGCATTAGCCGGGATTGTCTCTTAGATGAGATCATCCGCAGATTGATGCTTGAAGGTAACCCAGAAACTACACAGAAAACACTCGAAAATGAGTTAAAGAGATGAACTAAATGTATTTTGCTCGCTTTTTTAGCAAAGAATAATTTATTAATGGGGGAAATGTTTAAGTTTCAAATGAGTTTCAAAGGAAATTTAAAAACTAGCTCCAAAATCCCCCAAAAATGCGTGTAAGCACGTATTTATTTCCACACATTTAAATCCTTTACAAAACAGGTTAACCATTCTCTGGCCGACTTTCATTAAAGCCTAAAGTTGTACTCCTGTCGATGGAAATACTAAATAAATTATTCTGACAGTTGTAGCTCCTCTCGGGCTTGCATATTATCTAATGAATGAAATTATCATGAAGGCATTATTTA